AAATATGTTCATAAACAAGCAAACTACAACAGTTTACTTATTCTCCATAAGAATAACGTGGGAATTTTAAATTTACAATTTTTTGGAATTTTCTCCGTAACCATTAGGCGCATAATAACGCTTCAATATACTAAATTATTGGTTTTTTTAAGCTCTACAAAATGGTTTGGAAAGAAATTGCTTAATTTTATGTTTTTTGGGTCAAAAATGGGAAAAACCTATTTTTACCCCATAAAACCCCCCGTAAACCCCCGTTCCCATGGTCCGATCATGCTGGATCGCGAACTCGTTCGAATAAACGTAGGTTTACACGTTTATACCAAATTTCATCAAAATCGGATTATTTTTGCTCGAGTTATCGTGCTAACGGACACATATATAAATATATATATATATATATATATGAATTTGAACGGATGGTGTTTTTTTCCTCTAGGGACCTCAAAACGAAAAAAAAAATCGGTCCCGCGTCCAGGTCTTACCATGAGTACTACGGTAATAGCTTATTCCCTATATGGGAAATTCGCTAAAAGAGACTTATTACATACATACTATTTACAATCCATCTAGACAGTTAGGAAATGTGCCTAAGACATACATTAATATTTTATATATTGACCAGATTAAATAAAACATATTTTGAATTGGATTCGGTTGAAAGAAGTTTAACGACCTCAATAGCAAGAGTGAAGGATTGCTACACAGTTTTTATCAACTGTGACACAAATGGTCTAGACATAGACCAAATTAAAGCTGATCAATGAAGGGTTGTGGCCGTGTGACGTTTGCCTTACACAGTGTCAGCCGTGATTGGGTCTTGATTGTCTGTTGTCTGTTTGTTTGTCTCATTCTATTTTCATTTTGTTAGTCATCAGCTTAATCTTATCTTACTAATATGATAAATGTGAAAGTTTGTATGTTTGTTTGTTTGTGTGTTTGAAGTTCAATCACGCATAAACCACTGGACGGATTGAGCTGAAATTTGGCATGATGATAGTTTACATTCCCGATTAACATATAGGCATATTCTTATCTCAAAAATCCTTTCGGGCTCCGCCCCAGTGGCTCTGTAATTCCCCATGTTAACCTTATGAGTATTCATATTTAAAGGGAATTAAAGAATTTAGTCAGCTGTTTCAACTAAAAAAGTTGGTTCTATGATATGGAAAAGCATTAAAAATTATAAGATTTACCAACAGGGTACAGCATTATATTTTTTTTTGCATTTATGAAAACAGCTAAAAACTGTGATTCGCAATGAGGACTGTCAAAGTAGGATTGTTTACAGTTTTGTTTATGTTGTTCATTTCATGAACAATTTGTGATATTTTGCGAATTGTTGATAATTTATTTTCCTCTATTGTTTAGGTGAAGTGGTAGAACATTATGGCTATGGTAGATGTGTAATACTATAGAATACGTTACTGTAAATTTAAAAAAACAAATGTTATCTAACTGTGTCCTCCCTTATTGCAAACGCAAAGCTTGAGTATAACTGCAATAAGCATTTTATACTTATATTCCAACCCCGTACGAAGGGCGGGTACTCTGCTAGTTCAACTATATTTTTGATATTATCAGTTATATTACAAGTGCCTTGCAACAGGAATCCATCCAAAGTCAAAACGTGCTTTAAAGCTACTAACTGACACAGAACATTATAATCAATGGTAATGCCAAAGAGTAAAGAGTATTTTAAGTTTTTCAAAATAATGCTTGTAATTTGATTTATTCTTAAAAGTTGTAAGGCAGTTATAAAAAAAAATAATGACAATCATTGAATATTAACAAATTAAATTTAAAATTTTTATGTTTACATTTTCTTCTTTAAAAAAACAATCAACATTCAAAGTTGTATATAAAAAACACCGAGCTAGAAAAAAAACTAAGCTATCAACTATTTTTTTATATTTTAAAGAATAGAAAAAATTATAATCTTATAATTCTGCATACAGAAACCACTTGATAAAATAATTTTCTTGAGCTGAACAGGGTTATTTGGAAAGCCTGTCGTGTAAAACCCAAAACAATTTTTTTAATATATGGATTAAGACAGGAACGTTTTTATTGTTTTGTAGAAAAATTACTTAAGTGTCCAGGCAATTGGTCAAACGTTTTAGTAACACATAAAGGAAAAACATAATTTAACAACAAATTTAATTTTGTTATATTTTTTGTTTCGAATTTGATGAAAGCTAATTTAAACATGTGTTCACAGCCTACGTAAATGTAACATCACGCTATGGTTTAGTATGGTACTTTTCAAAATCACACCTTGGTGTTTAACCTAAGACTTACCACTATGCAAAGTTAAGGAGCAGATATAGAAGTGGTGGAAGATCTTGGATGTTCGTGCTGTTCAAGATGGTTGCTGACTAATGATAATTGTACTAACTAGAAACCTGACTAACTGTTTAGGAATGTGCAAACTTGACCAACAGTGCTCAGAAGCTGACATTTCACTTAGTGTGGCCAAAAGGTCCTGTGCCAAAGACTAGATGAACGTCACACACACTAACAGGCTAGCTTTTTACCATAGGTGGGCTGTTGGTGAGTTATATACCCAGTCTTTTCTGCCAACAAGTCCCTTTTTCAACTCTCGACTTATTGTTTTGTGATTTTTAAACTGAACAAATAATTTTATAATAACAGTATTCACCATGAAGTGATTGCGGGAATTCAGAGTGTTTACTTGCCAAACTAGCTATTTAAAGGTAGAGTCCTAATACTTATACTTGATGATGATCAAACTAAGCTAGTCCCAGAAAAAGAATCAAGACTAGGTATGTTTATGATTTGCTGACAAAGGTCTAGAATGTGACTAAATTAGCTATTGGCATGATGGTACTGCTGTGCTTTTGGATGAGGATCATTTAACCCGTAGCAAACACAAGCTAAGTTATTATCCTTTTGAACAAACAGTTTAAGTTTCATAGTTTCTTCCTGACATGATCTGAAAAAAATTGTCCTTGCTACTTCTTTTTTACTTGTTACATTAGTGTAGTAATGGTAAAAAATAGCCAATTAGGAAGGTAGAAAGTCGCTTTACCGCATGTGCCAAGCAATTTCATGCGTCAAGTGTTTTGCTGTTGGTACATTATTTGCTAGACACAACCGACTTTAAAGTATTTAAATATTCAAAGTTATTTTGTAGGTGGTCTCTTTCCTATTCAGCTTCTTGTCTTGTAGTAATCTAACATGCAAACTACCGCTTTATTTGTAACGGCCAACAGTGTGTAAACTGTGTCATGAAGGTTCAGCAATATTTGGCGCTTATTTAATCTGACTCACGTGTCCCAGCTGATAATTTACACAAAGCTACTTCCGACCACTGTCAAGGCCTGAGGCTCAATTAAAGTATTTACGCAGTTTACTCATAGTCCTGTCCTGATAAGGTATCTTCTTTGTGGTCAAGGATGCAGTGAAAAACTGCATTGATTACATTGCTGTAATAGTCATTGTTACCTAATCCTTTTGAGGAAATGCCGCTAGAATATGAATAAACATTGTAGCGGTTGTACACCTGTTTAACAAAGGAGTGTAAACTTGAAGTAAGAAAATTCTCCATAAGTTGGCGCAAAAAAAATTTAGAAATTTTTTTTAAATTTAATAATGGAACTCCACATATTTTAAAACCGATCCCATCAGTGCACAGTAAAATAAGCATTTGGCTTAATTTTGCACACTTATCCTACTTAATTGTTTCAATTTTAGCTGTGTAACATTTAAAGCTATTTTATTTCTATAAAAATCAGAACGAGAAACCAATCAATGAAATAATTCTTTATTACAGCCTTAAAAAAGCTGGTTCTTTATCCATGATTAAAGCATAATGATATAGGACAACAAATGGGTTCCGTTTATAAATATTAAAAAGCTACTGACTTCTCAGGTTCAAACCAGTAAACCTCTGATTATCAGGGGAGCACTCTAACCACACAGCTATCCAGCTACTCGTTATAAATTATGTGGGGACTTATGTGGAAATTGGACATTTAAATAGGGCTCAAAGCTTGTTTTTGACTCAAAACCAATAATGCAACATGCTTTTACCTTTCAAAGAAAATTTTTCTTTAATACAGTTAGGTGAATTAAACACCATTGACTATATATTATAAGCCCTGTTAGCTATAAGGAAATGACACTATTCCGTTGTATGACTCATGTACACATTATGAATAAAGATTGATTTGATTTGATTTGATTTGATATACACAGAAATTAAACTATGTACTGATTTTTACCACAAACAAGATCTGTACCATAAAGAGTGATTTACCTACCTCAATCAGGTTACAATTTATTGAAAGTATCCTAATTAAAATCCATTTTCATAATAGTTTAAAAAATCTAGTAACATATCAAACATAAGAGGAGGGGGGGGAAATAAAGGAAATAACCTATTTAGTTACCATTTGTCCCTCCAAGATTATAAGCTTTAAAATGATACCTCAATAATCGTAAAAATCAGTTGAGTAGGACAAGCTAAACAGTGATGTTAAAAAGAAAACCCTTATATTATTTAGTTTATAGACTTTTTGAAGATGTTCTCTGTTGACTAAGGGGGGGGGGGGGTGAGCTCAGGAATAGAATTCAATGATTCCTGATGCTTTAAAACATTCAAATACAGGTATATTATGTCTAAACAAGCACTGTAAATCAAGCCATGTTATCTTATGTTAGATTCATATTGTAATACATTTTATAATTGATATAAGAACTATTGACAATGTTAATTATATTAATATGTTTAAAGGTAATATAGAGATTCTATTTGAATTGCGCCTCCTGTCTGTATTCTTAGGAAGACTGTACGGAAAGGTATGCCACACAGTTTGCAACACCTCATACTGACATACCCCTCAGTTACCTCAAAGTTGTGCTTCACTTTGGCAGCTATTTGTGATGATTGCTTTAAAATTTAAAAAGTTAAAAATATGTAGTTTTGAGTAGGTCTGTTTTGCTATTGCTAAGTTCACTAAAGAAAGTTGTTGTTACAGATATGAGCGACTGCTAAGGAGGGCTAAGACAGAAGACCTATCTGAGGTGTCAGGTATCGGATGTTTGTACCAGAGCGGCCATGACAGATTAGGAAGACCGGTCATTGTCTTTGTAGGGAAGTGGTTCCGCTTTAAGGAAATAAATCTTGACAAGGTAAGGAATACTTGAGATTGTTTAGCAATTCTTGTATTACCAACACATTAGGTTGTTAAATGTATTTTATTTCTTCACAATTTATGAAAGCCGTGCATATAATTGGTTCAAGTCAGTCTAATTTTTTTAGTTTTTGATCAAAAACAAACACAGGTAAATTAATCAATGATTTATTTGTTTAAGATTTGTATGTGTGAGTTGTATAAATTTCCCATGTAAGAAATAAGCTATTACCGTAGGTCTCATGGTAAGACCTATACCCGGGACCGATAGACTTTTAATTTGAAGTCCATAGAGTTGAAAAACACCATCCGTTCAAAGTCATATATGTATAATACTTGAGGATGTCAGGCAAAGTATATAATAAAGATAGTTGTTTAAATAATATTTATTTGCAATGATATATTTTGTGTAGGTTAGTAGATTAGATAGGTAAAGCAAAAACAAGGAAACAAAAGTGTAAGGTCCTATTACAGTATATGAAATTTGGTGTCTGGTACAAACATCTAAATCTATGTTTGTTTTAACATGCAGTAAAAATTGGTCTTCCCCATATTTGACCATTAAGACCTAAAATGTAACAATATCTCTCAACTATTTCGTAAGAGATCAGTCAGTCAGTTTAGTGTATTTGTTAAGCTATTCAGCTGGTCAGTGGACATATCATTGATCCAGATAGATAGATAGATGTGTTTCAGTCAGGCAATGTTTCCGCCACGCCCTCAGCTACTCACACCCCTCAGATTGATTCCCCTCCAAAATTGTTTTTCTTGTAATTTCCTTTGTGTTTCATTTCAACTCCAACTACAAGAGTGCAGCCATTCATTGCTGTTAGAATCTCCCTAGAATTGTGTGATGACAACTTCAAATGGTTTAGATACAGTTCCTCACACAAACACCATGGTCCAAATACTCTACTATTATGTATTGTTGAGAAATATATGGAAAATATTTCAGCGGGTTTTTTCTTTTAATGATTTAATACATTTTTAATGATAACCTTTAAATTTTGAAAGAAATCCCTCCAGAATAGAATATTATGTGATCTTAAGTTGGAATTGAAACGACAAACAGGCCCACTTTTATAAACGGGCAGACTGGGCATATGCCCAGGGGCGCCGGTGGTTGGGGGGTGCCCGAGGGGCGCCCTGAACCACCGCCCGCACTAGTAAGAATAGGGTTTTATCAGCCGGGATTTCAAAAATAGAATGGGTGATTTCAACTTGTAGTTAAGTGATTTTCCCTTATTGCAAAAGTAAATAAATACAACAAAATTGAAAATACTCGACCTTCAGGCTATAGGCCTACCTCGTGTAGTCAGGGAAAGGCAGGCAGCAGTGTGAACTGGGCCCACTCACTATACTATCAGAATCAGAGGCAGGGAGCCCTGCATGGTGGAAGGAAAATACATAGGTGTGCTATTCCCGTCATATGCTGGCGTCACTCAGATTGCAAACACCATTTTACCATTGAGCGCGTTCTGGGAACATGTACCGGTGCACCGGTGCAGATTAACCGGTGACTTATTCACCGGTACCGCCCGGGGCAAGAGTCTTGGTACCCCGGAACGGTTATTCACCGGTTTACGGTACACATCGGATTATAATTTACACATTCACCTACTATTTGCTTTATAATATTTAAATCAAACAAACAAACTTGCCCTCACGGAATAAAATTGAAAATTATTATTTATTACGTAATATAACCCCCTCATTGAACAAATTTTCACTCATTACGCAACATAACCTATAAAACTAATGAACATTATTCGGTGGACCCGCCATCTTGCCGTGGCTGCAAGCTGTTGTCAAAGAAACTGACCAATCAGAGGCCGCCGGTGTATTATGCACCGTACAATTTCTCCGGTGCATAAATCTTGCACCGGTGGAGGAAAAAGAGGAAATAGCTGTCTGCTAGGTTAACTCACCGGTCTCCCAGAACGTCACATTTTTTGCACCGGTGCACCGGTACATGTTCCCAGAACGCGCTCATTGAGAAAAATTATAAAAACAATAACAATCAAATCAAAACAAATATATACTTATATGGCAATACATCAGCTGATTTTTTGTTTGCGATTTGGGTGACGTCAGCAAATTACGGGAATATCACGTAGGCTAGCAGTAGTCTACAGGCATCCGGTTGACGTGCCCCTCCTCTCCCTCCCAGTCCCACCCCCATCCCCACAAGTCACAACCACCAACTACCGTGTGGCGCCAGTCCAGTACAGTACTCCTCAGTAGTCAAATCAGTCACAACACAACCTAAACTGTGACAGTCACTAGTCAGTGTTGACACTCACACTGCAGTTAGTGAACCAGTAATAAATAAATATAGAAGTGTTGATACAAGTAGGCCTATAAACAGTGGAAAATGCAAAAAAACCTAGTGGAGCCGAGAGTTGCAAGCAGTTGGTTCAAAGAAAACAAACTCAAGAAGCAGTTTTAAAGAAAGTGAAATGTACCAGTATTTCCACTGATACGGAATTTAAAACTCCCTCCCAAAACAAAACTGGTAAAAAAACACGCTAATGTTTAAATATATAGATGCATAGGCCTATAGTAGAACCATGGAAAAAACATACTCCCTTAGTAGAATCCCTTTCAATACGTGTGTAATGCAATGAACTGCACACTGTACTGTACTGAACAGTAATCAAATAACTGCGTAGTGCATTAAGCTATTGGCGCAGGGCAAGAGGCATTCGCATAGCAACTACTGTCAAGTTCATTGCACTCACCCCAACCCCCAAACCACCTACTGTGAATTTCGGCGAACTGATGAGTCAACCCCCCTTCCCTCTTCCCCTCCCTACACTGCTGTGGTCAAAACCTTTATAGTTTTATATATATATATAAGGGGGGGCGCTGCTTTTGGGTTTGCCCAGGGCGCCACTGACCCTTAACGCGGCCCTGACGACAAAAAGACAAACATCCCTCTCAGGCATGTTTAGGACAGTTTCCTTTAGTTTTATGGTGATCAGATGAATGGTTCAGTAAATGCATTACTGTACTTAAGAACAGGCATACAGACATACATTTAATTACATTCGCCTAGATTAATATTACTAAAGAGTGCATGTTATGTTGGCAGGCCTTGCTGTATCTGATATACCTGCTGGACCCCCTGGTCAAGGGAGATTATGTCATCGCTTATTTCCACACCCTCACTGGCAACTCCAACTACCCCTCCTTTGCCTGGCTGAGGGAGGTCTACAGCATCCTGCCTTACAAGTTAGTACTACTTACTGCCATCTATAGTCATTGTAACAGTTGCACATGTTGCAAAATGGTGTCTAAAGTTGCAGCTTACTAGGATTTACATTAGGCTACATCTCATACAATATTGACAGGTTTTGTTGTCTATACTTTTAATAATTCATTGAACCTACTTCCTTATAGTTTCATCTAATGTACTGCTGTGGAGATGGTCATTTGCACCAAGGCTGAAAATTAACCCTACCATGCCAACGATGTGAGATGTAACAGACTTACTGCCACTGTTATTCACATTTAAGTAAATTTATAAATATATATTGAATGTTTATTGTGGAAGCATTATTACGGAAATCGTGAGTTTTATCATGTCTATAATTCAGTTATTTTTTTTGTTTGCAGGTACAAAAAGAATTTGAAGGCATTTTATATTATTCACCCAACATTTATTTGGACTAAGGTAAAAATTGGAATAATTTATAATTACAGTAGACAATTAGTTGTATATTCAATTGAAAATAGCGTTGTGTTTCTTGTCATCACAATTAAACATTGTGTTTCATGATAAACTCAATTGGTGCAATTTGGACTCAAATAGAGTACCTAGAAAAATTAATTTGTTTGTGTGTTCTCGGCCAAATTTTTTAGCTGTCCTTGGTGGCGTAGAACAGGGCCAATGGTTATAAAATACAAATTATTGATGTACAGTAGAACCTCGCTAATCCGTACCCTACGGGACCGGGAGAATGGTCGGAACAGCAAAAAGGTCGGATTATCAGAGGAATGTGTTCATTGACATAAAGACATAGTAAAACTGTATTTTGAACAGACCGCGGTTAATCCAACATGACATAAAACAGTCATTACTAACTCATAAACAACGCCTACAGTAATACTATAAATGGAATTTAATATGGTCATTTGCATATTACATTTTTAAAATACAATTATAGTAGGCTATTGCGCAATCATGATAATTATGTTACGTTATTGACCTTGGTTTAGTTATAAAAACTGTCACGTTTAAAATCACAGGTTTCTCAAACTTTTACTAAAAACAAAAAAAATTCCAAACATTTTATAGCAAAATAAAGAACAGAACAATAGAAAGTCTAATAAGCTACTGCTAGTCATAGGCTACTGCTACGCTGTTTCAGGACAGAAGAATGTTGATAAAAACATTAGATAACACATAAAAGAAGCCTACTTATAAATTATAACAACAGTCGTAAAATACACCGATAAAATACACTGAGGTCGGATTAGCGAGGTTCTACTGTAATTGGCAGTGTGTATGGCCTATGTGTATAGAAATTTATATTTTATGTCTTACAAAAAATGTTGACAATCTTCTATCTTGTTCTAATAAATTTTGAAATGGTAATTCATGTCTGGGACTATAAAAGCTAAGAAAGAGTATATGTGAAATTTTATAAATGTAAATTGTACTGATAACGTTTTTTTTTTCAGATGATGACATGGTGGTTCACCACATTCATGGCCCCTGCTATCAAACAGAAGGTTCACTGTCTACCAGGAGTGGAGTACTTGTACAGTGCGATGAGTCCTAACCAGCTAGAGATCCCTGCCTTCATCACAGAGTATGACATGAGTGTAAGTAGAAACATACACAACTAGTGGATACTGTAGTGTAGTCAGGACTAGCAGCATGGACCTGCTAACAAACAGAAGGCTCACTGTCTACCAGGAGTGGAGTACTTGTACAGTGCGATGAGTCCTAACCAGCTAGAGATCCCTGCCTTCATCACAGAGTATGACATGAGTGTAAGTAGAAACATACACAACTAGTAGATACTGTAGTGTAGTCAGGACTAGCAGTATGGATCTGCTAACAAACAGAAGGCTCACTGTCTACCAGGAGTGGAGTACTTGTACAGTGCGATGAGTCCTAACCAGCTAGAGATCCCTGCCTTCATCACAGAGTATGACATGAGTGTAAGTAGAAACATACACAACTAGTAGATACTGTAGTGTAGTCAGGACTAGCAGCATGGACCTGCTAACAAACAGAAGGCTCACTGTCTACCAGGAGTGGAGTACTTGTACAGTGCGATGAGTCCTAACCAGCTAGAGATCCCTGCCTTCATCACAGAGTATGACATGAGTGTAAGTAGAAACATACACAACTAGTAGATACTGTAGTGTAGTCAGGACTAGCAGTGTGGACCTGCTATCAAACAGAAGGCTCACTGTCTACCAGGAGTGGAGTACTTGTACAGTGCGATGAGCCCTAACCAGCTAGAGATCCCTGCCTTCATCACAGAGTATGACATGAGTGTAAGTAGAAACATACACAACTAGTAGATACTGTAGTGTAGTCAGGACTAGCAGTATGGACCTGCTAACAAACAGAAGGCTCACTGTCTACCAGGAGTGGACTTGTACAGTGTGATGAGTCCTAACCAGCTAGAGATCCCTGCCTTCATCACAGAGTATGACATGAGTGTAAGTAGAAACATACACAACTAGTAGATACTGTAGTGTAGTCAGGACTAGCAGTGTGGACCTGCTATCAAACAGAAGGTTCACTGTCTACCAGGAGTGGAGTACTTGTACAGTGTGATGAGTCCTAACCAGCTAGAGATCCCTGCCTTCATCACAGAGTATGACATGAGTGTAAGTAGAAACATACACAACTAGTAGATACTGTAGTGTAGTCAGGACTAGCAGTGTGGACCTGCTATCAAACAGAAGGTTCACTGTCTACCAGGAGTGGAGTACTTGTACAGTGTGATGAGTCCTAACCAGCTAGAGATCCCTGCCTTCATCACAGAGTATGACATGAGTGTAAGTAGAAACATACACAACTAGTAGATACTGTAGTGTAGTCAGAACTAGCAGTATGGACCTGCTATCAAACAGAAGGCTCATTGTCTACCAGGAGTGGAGTACTTGTACAGTGCGATGAGTCCTAACCAGCTAGAGATCCCTGCCTTCATCACAGAGTATGACATGAGTGTAAGTAGAAACATACACAACTAGTAGATACTGTAGTGTAGTCAGAACTAGCAGTATGGACCTGCTATCAAACAGAAGGCTCATTGTCTACCAGGAGTGGAGTACTTGTACAGTGTGATGAGTCCTAACCAGCTAGAGATCCCTGCCTTCATCACAGAGTATGACATGAGTGTAAGTAGAAACATACACAACTAGTAGATACTGTAGTGTAGTCAGAACTAGCAGTATGGACCTGCTATCAAACAGAAGGCTCACTGTCTACCAGGAGTGGAGTACTTGTACAGTGCGATGAGCAGGGCCGTCCCTAGGGTTAGCGGCGCCCGGGGCAAATGTGGTCGTGGCGCCCCCCCCCCCCCCCCCACCCCAGGAATAGTCGCATTCACATATATTAATACTATGTTAATTAGGGATAGACGGGATTGAATTTTTAATTCGGGACGGGATTTTTCCTGTGCATAAAAAGAAAGTCTTGAGTATTGCAGTTACCAAAAAAGACAAACAAAATCAATTTTACCATTTATGGCACTGATCTATCAAAAGCGAAAAAGGGTAAAAATTTACAGGCATAGAAACTTGTAACTCGCGGTCAAAATGTCTCGCGATCACAGCGTGATCGTCGGTATGACTCGCGGTCACGGTGTTATCATCGGTATGACTCGCGGTCACGGCGTTATCATCGGTATGACTCGAGGTCACAGCGTTATCGTCAGTATGACTCGCAGTCACAGCGTGATCGTCGGTATGACTCGCAGTCACGGCGTTATCGTCGGTATGACTCGCGGTCACAGTGGAATCGTCAGTATGACTCGCGGTCATGGCGCGATCGTCGGTATGACTCGCGGTCACAGTGCAATCGTCAGTATGACTCGCGGTCACAGCGTGATCGTCGGTTTGACTCGCGGTCACGGCGTTATCATCGGTATGACTCGCGGTCACAGTGGAATCGTCAGTATGACTCGCGGTCATGGCGCGATCGTCGGTATGACTCGCGGTTACAGTGGAATCGTCAGTATGACTCGCGGTCATGGCGGAATCGTTGGTATATATGACTCGCGGTCACGGTGAAATCGTCGGTATGACTTGCGGTCACGGTGAAATCGTCGGTATGACTCACGGTCACGGCGCGGTCGTCCAAATGACTTGCGGTCACGGTGCGATCGTCGAAATGACTTCGGCTCCTGCGTTCGTGGAATTACTGTGAACATCTCTCGCGATAGCAGCGTCATTTTCACTCGCGAAGCGTCAAAATTGCCGATGATCGGATCAAATCCCGTCCCGAAGAATTCCAGAATCAAACTAAATCCCGTCCCGAAAATCGGGAATATTTTTTTCCCGAAATTTCGGGACCTGTGCGTTGATACCAGTAGCCGCTGCGCGGCGCCCGCTTAGCCGCGGCGCCCCTCCAGCCGCGGCGCCCGGGGCAGCTTGCCCCGGTTGCCCCCCCCTTCGGACGGCCCTGGCGATGAGTCCTAACCAGCTAGAGATCCCTGCCTTCATCACAGAGTATGACATGAGTAAAAGTATAAACATACACAACTAGTAGATAATGTAGTATAACCATGTTACTAATCATGTGATATCATAATTTTCACTTGTTTCCAGATCAACGGGATCCGCTACTACCACCCTGGGCCCACGACCTAGGCACCCTGCCGCAGTTAGGCCACCTACCAACAGTATTCGCTTGTGTCAACGATCAGCAAACGTCAGCGTAGAGTCGCTTCGCCTACACTCTGCGCTCGTTCTTCAATCATCGTTTGTTTGTTTGTTTACCTGTTGTGTTTGACGACGTTTGTATATTATTGTTATCAAATTGTTGATGCGTGTGCAAGTGCGAGTGTGAATGTAGTTTCTTCCAATCTCTTTATAAGTGGGAAACAATCGCATGTCCTGTCTCTGCCCTCGTGTCTTCTTCTGTCTGTATTCGGAAGGAAGATAATTCCTTTTGAGTTGGCGACGACAAGTTACTTATATTTAGTAGTTAGGGGATATTATATATTATTGTTTTTTACCCCAGTTATGATTATTACGAATATGCCGAAATATGGTGCAACTATATTTTTAACTCGATTAATATTGTACAGTTTTTTCTAACGTTTATATGATTGTTTACTGACATTATAAATTGAGAATTGTTTATATAAATTATGTTTATTTTTAATATATAGTTTATGAAGATCAATATTAATTAATCATTTTGACCTTATAATAAGACGTTTGAATATGACTAGTTTTTAAAACAGTTTACTTACTCAAGATTAATCTTGTACCTATTAAGACTTATTACTTCACTTCACAGTTCACAGAAGGCTCTCTTAACTTTCAGAGTTTTTCTAGTAATCCATTCTACAAGATTTTCGTTCCTCTTTCTATGCTTTGTGTTTATTTCCAAAGAATATTTACGTACTTTGTCGTTCAACGACCAATTTAGTAGACCTGGTTATTTATCCCATCTTCATTTTATCAGGATAAAATATTTTAGATTCTTTTACTCAAATACAATATTTTTTCAAAGGTTCAACATGAAATTGACTTGTCAATAATCAAGTTAAGGGAGTCTCTGTATCTAATCTCTCAATAATCTAAACATGAAAACTGAAATTATTGCATTTAAAACAGACAATATTCTGCACCTATGTATTTTTTTATTGCACATTGCTCTGACTAATTGTGCAGGTTCAAACCTCAAGGAAGTGATTATTTTTTTTGTTTGTTTTATTGTAATACTGAATTTTTAAAGTTAATAAATAAAGACTGTAACTCCTTAAATTTTTCTCATAGCTTTTGTTAAAATTAAATTTTTAATCTTTTGCTACTTTCAGTGGGATATTTTGTTAAATGAGTTTAGATGGGAACGTGGTGTTATCGTGTTGGTATTCTGCCTTCCTGTCAATGTCACAGCCACCTCGGCCGGTCTGTAGTTGCTCACTTGATTTTCGGCCGATTTTTGTCAGAACTTTGCCCTTTGTTTACCGCACTTTTTAGGGAAATCGCACTCAATGTAAGATGACGAGCCACTTTAGGATTGAACAGTTTACGATATTTACAACTTTGTCTTGTATGTGCATTGTCGGTAAAAGATGGCTCTCCCTTGAGATTAGTCTAAAATTTAGCGCTTTGTGTGATTTAGTATGTAGGAATTGACTAAATCGAAGGCAATCCAGTCCAAGTCGGTGTAGTGTAAGTAGCAATATTAGTTTCAAAAGTATTTTTGACCATAGTAAAACAAAACAGGAAATTAACAAATGGTATTAATAAGGCTGTGTACAATGTTTTCACATAATAGCAATTTCAGGGCAAAGTTCGCATTGTTTGTGCCATTAGCAGATGATATTTTAAGTCTTAGTATATAATGAATTAGATTATTGACACTTTTACCAAAACTTCAAGTTTTTGGATAAGAATTTGTAAATTGCCTCTACTGACATACATAGGAGCAGTATTGTGAAATCTTTTTTCTATCATTGACTTCATATATAGGGTGATTACCGAGAAACGCATGTTTTTTAAATAACGAGTACTCAGGTTATTCAGAGCTAAAAATGTATTTATAAGTGGAAAAACAGTGTACACAATATGCAATTTCAGAATAAAATTACTTGCAATTTAGCATTTAAAAATTACATCTCTAAGGTGGTGGTTAGAGAACATTGTTAATTTTACAGGTCGCATTCTGCTTGGATTCAGTGTTGAAGGTGTTCCTAAAAATTTGCTACGGATTTTGTTATCATATCTCTAGGAATGGTGTTGATTTCCTGGCAAATAGCTTCTTTAAGTTCCTGTATTGTTTTTGGTTTGTTTATGTAAACTCTACATTTCGAAAATCCCCATAGAAAGAAATCTGGAATTTTAAGACCTGGTGAGCGCTCGGCCAAGTGACACCACCAAAACGTGAGATAACTCTTTTAGGGAATGTTCGGCGAAGGAATTCCATTCTAATGCGAGCCCTATGGACTGTTGCCCCATCTTGTTGGAACCATACGTCATTACGTATCTCAACACGTTGATGGCACAGTTCCGGCAAGAAATATTCTTCCAACATTTCTAGGTACCGTTGTGGATTCACTGTCACTGCTCTGCCGTCGCGGCTAGGACTCTGAACTGTTGCAAGGCGCACTCTTTCAACTGTCTCAGGGGTACTAACTGTCCTTGCCAGTCTAGGAGGTTTCTTCTTAAGCAGAGATCCAATTGAGTTAACATTATGTATCCAACGCAATATCGTGTTACGATCAGGGATAGCACCATGCCGTGCAATGTTAAAATTCTCCATTTGCGTAATATCGACGCATGACAAACGTACGATGTTCAAGGTCCCACATCTTGGCAAAAATTGAAACTGCACACTTCCCCCTCCACAGCTAAACAACTTCCGGCCGTAACCGAACGATATTCCTTATGTACTACGAAAGTCAAAAACATGCGTTTCCCAGTAATCACCCTGTACTTAATATAAATAGACATCCTATTTATAAGTTGCCCTTTCAAGTCTGTGTTACAGAAACTCTTTAAATTACACCTGCTTACTCTGTTGGTGGCTCAATTGAGCTAATTTTATGTTTTATTTTAAAACTTTAACTTGGGAATGAAGTGTCTACTGCGCAGTAGTGAGTGTTTCAATAGTTAAAGCTTGCGTTTAACTAAACTACTTAAAGATAAAGATTTGATCTTTTATTTCATTTCTTGAACTCAGCTATGAAATCTGCAATCTAAAACATGTTAATAATCTAACTATAAGGGAGTTTTGGTAAGAGTCTTAATACAATTTTATAATAAAATAACAAACACAATCAAACTTTGTTTTAGTTTTGTTGTGATAGCCAGACTAGAATGTTAATAGATAATTTCTGGTTTGTTCTCTTTTAGCCAGCAAGTGATACAGATTAGGCTGCCTTAGTCTCTAGTACACCCTTGTTTATACATTCCTTTCAACCTTCAAAGCAGATACTTGTCACTAGAGTAATGAAATGTGCGAAACCAGTTGTTGTATGAATCTTTATAATACAACTCACCTGAAAATTACATTCTCTTGTTTTTTAACCTATCTCATCCTTTTAGTAATAAGAGATTACTTGTTTGGTATTCTTTGTTGTAAGTGTCTAAATCAGGTGGTTTATCCAGCTATAACCCTAAAGGTTTGTCTTGTTACTTAACAAACCATGATACAAACCTCCAAAGTTGACCTGTTTGGTTGACACATTTATGTTTGTTAAATTATAATTATTATTTAATTTATGTTTGTTAACAAATAATAGAAAGTAGGCCTACCTCCTTGACAAAAGACTGAAAATAAAATAATAAAATAATTTTTTTTTGAGATAACTTGCTTAACTTGCTTATTTCAGTTGTATAAAAGTTAAACTCTTGTATTAGATTCCATCTTACACTCCAAGCATCTTTTAAAAAAACTACCTAAAGCCCGCCAATCCCTTCCATTTAAATAATCAAAGTATTCAGCTTCTCTCAAAATATGTGCTCTTGGCCTAAAATATCTTATATTTTAGAATTGGGCATGCTGACGTAATGAAACACTGACTCAATTTGCCTATTGTTGCAAAGAGAGCAAATATAATTTTACCTACGACCGTTTTTTAAAGTAGCCATTTCAGACCAGTTCTTAGAATTGAAAAGTTTCACTTTACAGCTGTTTACTTTCATATCCGCATAGTTTCATTTCATATCCGCATAGTTTTCTCATATCCACACAGGTAACGGACCAATGAGGTTCAAGTATTGAGAGAAAAGAATTAAAATTGTAATGCTTCGAACGTCAACTAATCAGCTGATCAGTTGACCAATTTAATTGTTGATCCGACTTGTTCATGTTGATACTCGCGTATTCTTAATTAAGTTGGTGGAAGTCCAAAAATAAATGAAATATTTGCCAAATTGTACCTGATACAATATTATTTATGGTAAGAATGCTGCTAGCAATGTAATATTTAACGAAGTTTAACAAACACGTAATTACAGGAAATCAGCTGATTATACAACAAGTCGTTGCATCACTTTCAGTGGCAATGACAATACACGAAAACATAACCTCTCTAAAAAGTTATCATTAGTGATTGTTAGTAATTAAATCCAGATTGATAGTAATTAAAAAACGGTCGTAGGTAAAGTAGTCAGTGTACGCAACTCGCGTTAATAGTCTTTACGACACTCGTAGAAGTTTTTAAGGCACTCGCCAAGGCTCGTGCCTTAAATTTTCTACTCGTGTCGTAAAGACTCACTTAACGCAATCGTTGCGTAAACTACTATTTATTCTGCATCCAAGGTTGATAATTTAATGATATTAGCTCCGCTCTGGTCTTGATAATCCAAAAGATGAGGGAAGTGACCAAGTTATCAGTGAGCAAGGGTCTGTCACCGAGCTCTAGGTCGAGAGAGAGAGAGAGAGAGAGATTGTTGTATAGAGATTAGTTGTATGTGACAAATGTCTGCTCTTTTAACCCATTGGGGATGGAATTAATGCGCTGCTGCCTGCAGGACCCTCGGGCAGCAATTAATTTTACCGAATTTGTAGACTTATACCCTAAGTGTTTGTTGTGAACTGATGTGTCAGCTGTAGTAATAACGCCACTACGCAAAGAACTATGCAGGATTAACCTCTAGTCGGCATCCAGTTCAGATCGCAGCAATGTCAACCAGTACCGTGTGTGCGGCAGGCCTGTTATTTGTTTTATTTTCATTAATTGTAAAATGTTGTTTGTGTTGTGGGTTTCGACTATGACGACGCTACTTCAGCTGAATTTTCCACGTCTGACGATGGTATTATAATGCCGAAAAGGCCATAACTCAAGTTACAATAGTTTGGGCTGACAAAGGTTAAATACCTATTTTAATTATTATCACAGCTCAAGGGCAAAAAATGGATTTTAAAACACCTGTTGTGAGATTAGTGACTGTCATCTGTACGGTTCTTTTTCTGTTTACGCTGCAAAACGATCACATGACGCAATCCCACGTGAGCGATTCGTATTGGTGTGTTCCCTGTCATATATGGCTATTGTATTAGAGTCCTGCATGGAAACTTCCAAGAATTAAATTGTGTCGCTCCCGCTTCCCGTGTTCAGTGTGCCTTTACTCTGTAACTGGTCAAACTATTCAAAAAAGTGACCGGTTTGAATTTCACAACAATTACCACGATTGTATACTGTGTTTTTTTGTATAAGAAATAAATAAATTTATTAACCTTTAGTGGATATGATGATAATGTTCGTTATAACCAACTAGTAAATTTACGATTAATCAAATAGAAACAAAAACACACATATGAAAATGTATTATTTATTTTAAATAGTTTTTAAGTAAAATATTGTAAATCTAATTATTTTAATATAAATCTTTGTATGATACTGTACACATTCAGTCCTAAACATAAATGGTAAGCAAAGCACTAATTGTTATAAGGCTTAGTTCTACAACTAATAAGTCTGTGGAAGACAAGAGATAGTAAATTAATAAAACTATACAAAATATAACAAACAAATTAACTACCAGATTTCATAAAACAGGCATGAGTTGTTTGTTTTTTTTATTAGTGTGTCACTTTCTATGTAACAACACGCAGGTTGAATTTACTTATAACTGTTGCAAGTAAAAATACAAATATTTACACATTTAGTTTTTTTGGATAAAAAAATACCATTATTAAATTGTTATGTTTGGTTAAGCAGAATCTGGGTTATTTCGCTTGGTAATAAAAAAATATATAGCCTATCTGTAAAATGTAATTTATTTCAATTTTATTTTTAGTGTTTATGAAATCAAAATGTATATAAAAGCATAACATTGAACTCTCTAACATAAAATATACTGTCAAATAGGAAATAATACTGTACAAATATCTATAATACAATTAAGACTTATATAATATTAATACATAGTTTTTATTTTCAAGTTATATAAGTAACTAAATGATATGAAATATTAGCATTAACAACATAGCTACAATTTTTCATCTAAATTTTACTAAATAAGAAAAATAACAAAGGAGTACTAAAACATTATTAAAAAAATGTTTTCTTATGAGTGCATGGCTAAGTAAATAAAATTTTGTTGATTAATACAAATAAGTGTTGTCAATAAAAAATACAAACGTGTGAACTTTGTACAAATAGAAAGGGCCTTCCCAAAGATTACTCAAAGAAGAAAAAATAAATTCTAGTGGAAACAGTTCTCAAGACTAGTCATGAGCTGAATGAGTCATACAGTGAATGATTGCCCTACACGAACATTACCAGGTGGGATATTTCAATCTCACAACATCAAGGAATCAGCACTAACTAGGATTAGACCATATTTTAGGCCATATTTTTTCTGAAAATTGTTAAAATTTTGCATTAAAAATTTTAAAATTGTCAACTCTTATGGGTAATCATAAAAGTTATCTACAAGTCAATAAAATTAAATCTAATGATGACAATCATTTGGGGTGAACCTAAAAAGAAGGATGAACAATAACTAAAAAGTTTATAGTAAAATTTGTCCTACAAAAAACGCTCAGTCTGATAGTAAAAGGCTGAATTAGGTGCAGTCTCATGAGTTACTAAACAGCTGATTGTATTTTGTCACAATCAGCTGTTTGTCTCTTTGGTGGCAGCCATCAGCTGTGACAACTTGGACTGAGGTGAATCCAACAACTTGGACGGCTTGTCCAGCTCTGCTACCTGTTACAAATAAATGAACCATTAATAAGGAATTGTAAACAATATTTGTTGTTCATTGATAGAAGAGAAACAAAAATTACTTTTTTCATGTTCCTATAAAAAAATGTTACAAATAGGTAGCATATTGGAAAGTATAATAATTTTAAATATACAGTTGACACTCAATAATGCATCACTTGATAGTCACATTCAATAATCTAATGTGTCATTGACAGATGCATTGCACAACGTCCAAGGGCCTGGACGTCCAAAATATAATTCTTGAGCTGTCTAACGATGTCCAATATAAACTGTGCGACTGCTGCGCAATGTCCGAATCTCATCATATCCAAAAGTACAGTATCTGCAATAAACATAGTCTTTCTACAAGCTCTGGACGTCATGAGATTGGTCGTCATGAAACAGCGCACTTTACACTCTTAAAAAAGTAGCAGTTGCACTACGTCCAAAGCCGCTGCCAGTTCCACGGCATCCAATAGCTCAGCGCTGTCCCACGACATCCAGAGCCTGCACACTGTGAGTAGGGCCTACTGTTTTATCGTAGTACATACTAACTTAGCCTAACCTGTCTTAACTTAACATAACTTAACCTAATCTAACCTGGCTCCATATGCAGGAGCTTTAGACGGTGTGCAACAGCGCTGAGCTAATGGACATTGTGCAACTGGCAACAGTTTTTTGCATGTGGTGCTACTGCTAAGGTTTTAAGAGTATAAAGTGAGCTGTTGCACGACAACCAATCCCATGACGTTCAAAGCTTGTAGAAAGACTCTATGTTTCTTGCAGTTACTGTAATTTTGGACATGATGAGATTTGGACGTTGTGTAGCAGTTGAAAAGCTTACATTAGACGTCGTGAGACAGCTCAAAAATTATATTGTGGACGTTGTGACACTGACTTATATCATTGGACTTTGTGCAACACTACCTCGTTGACTAATGTAAGTAAAACACTGGAATTAGTTTCAAGTTGCAACAGCAATTTCACATCTTTTTATTCACAAAGTCCAGTCTGATTCCACTGTCTTTACAGTGAAAGTTAGTGACTGATTGTTGATTAGATTGTGCATTAGACTACGACTAGGGCTTAGAATAAGATAGTATGATAAGTTTTCAAAACCAAAATAATAATAATAAAGTTTATGATGATTTCCTTAATTTCTATTGCAGATAATTATTGAATACAAACCTTCAAAAACAGTTTGAAAATTAGTAAGACTTGCACTACATTTGGATACAAGACTGAATTGGCAAACCTGAAGACTACCTCTCCTGGCTATTCATGCTTTCTGCTTTGTGATTTTAAATTGAAAGACTTGAGTGTAGGAAAGTAAAAACAATTGCTGCAAATTGAGTGACATGATCAGTGCAAAAATAGCTGCTTTTCTATGTAATTGTATAAGACTAACCTCGCCCTGCTCCATTACCAACACTCTATCACAGCCCAGCACAGTAGATATCCTGTGTGCAATGGTCAGCACAGTACAGTCCCTGAACTCATCCTGTATCACTCTGTGTATGGCAGCCTCAGTGTCTGGGTCTACTGCAGCTGTTGCTTCATCCAGAATCAGGATCTATGGCAGAATAATGTGTTAATATGGTCCTGGCTCTCAATACGTGAAACACACTCCCTTCAGCCTTAATTCATATTTGGGTTAAATTACGCACAGTTGCCTCAGATGCATGGTTTACAGTTTACACCAGTGGTAGTCAAATTTAGCAGTTTGACATCTCACATTTAATTTGTTTAAGCTTTTATTGGAATAATACTTTACGCTTTTCTATAGCATTTTAGAGAGGAATCAGCACTTTGTTAATCTTCTATACTTATAAAAGTCAAATAATCACTCACTGATTACTATATCTCAAAAACTAAAAGCCATAAAAAGTCAGGAATTGGCATGTAGGTTCCACTCAACCTCTAGGTGTGCAATAAGAAGCGTTTTCAAGAAATTTCATCAGGCCTCTGCCCCAATGGCTTTTAAAGTTCCCATGTTATCCTTATGGAGAAAATAATTGTTACCATTTGATCACAAGAATACTTTTGAATCTGCACTATTAATTAAGGGAACAGCTGGTTATATTTTATTACACGACTGCCAGTCGGGTTTTGTCCTTGGCTGGCCTCACGCGAATGTACATGGTTTTGTATTATAAACGTTTTCGTATGTGTTATGCGTATGTATGAAGTAATTTTGAATTTTGACAACGGCTTGTGCAAGAGGATATGTTTGACATATGACGACTGAAGAGAAGATTTGAAAATGGGGTTTTAACCCCGAAACTATTGTCATCAACGACAATATAGGACTGATTGACGACAGGTTAGTAACCTCATTTTAAGTCATTAAATCAATCCTGGAGGCAAATTATGTGTAAATTAGAGTCCAAACCCAGTAAAAATGACCGGGTCGTCATTCACTGGTTTAGCTAAGGAATCTGTTCCAGTATGTGACTGCTCGAATAAAAACTAATTTTTTTGGCCTACGTATGAAAACAGATAGTTTTAGATTAATATATACTCTTAATATTAAGTATTAGCCAAATAAATCACCATTTCAACAGCTTTTTTTCCACAAAATAATGAAATATGCCTTACCTGCGGAGTTCTTATAGTGGCAGAAGCTAAAAACGAAAATTGAAAACATGTCCAAGTTAAATCATAAAAATAAACAGAAATAATTAACAATAATTAATGACTGATAGTTAAATATGAAGAATAGAGTAATATCATTTTTCTAAACTAGTTTTTTTTTCACTCCTGTCTTAATTTAACTCCTAGTATAGATGATATAGAGTGAAACGTTCATTCATAGGCAGCCATCATTCACTGGGCAAGTCACCCTAATTTGATGGCATACCCCCTCTAAGAGGCATCATTAAAAGCAAGCTGTAGGATGGCAGATACAAACCTAGTCATTCTAATCATTGTAAGAAAGTGCTACCTTAGTCTTCCTCAGCAAAGCTCTAGCCAGACACAGTAGTTGTCTCTCCCCCACACTGAGGTTGTCACCTCCATAGCCGACTTTACCATCCAATTTGTTGGTCATAGCTTGCACCTTTTCTTTCATCTGTGTCTTCTCCAACACGTCCCACAGTCTTGCGTCGTCACACGAGTTCCAAGGGTCTAAATTGCTCCTGTTAAACAGTTAGTAAAATTAAAACTTAGCAGCAAATTCATAATTTTGAGGCTTGGCTGTGAGAGAAATCTTCATATAGCAAAAATTTAATCATAACCTTTTTTCACTCATTGCACTACTTATCGTAATTCTTATATCCAGTTGTAATACGAGTTACGCTCACCTTACTGATCCAGAGAAAAGTACAGGATCCTGAGGGATGATTGTCAGCTGAGTCCGGAGTTGTTCCAAATCCAGAGACGAGATGTTGAGCTGATCAATCTCCACAGATCCTCCAGAAAACTCTACCAGACGGAACAGCGCTGTGGTCAGTGAGCTTTTACCTGACCCCGTCCGGCCCACGATGCCTGCAAAACAATGTACAACTCATAGGTTTTTGCTAACAGCTTTGATTAATTATTCAAGATTTCCCATCCCATATTAAGGCTTTAGTTAGTTTTTTAGGATCAAAATGAAAATGTTGTATTTAGTCACCAGATGTCTAATGTCTAGTGGCAATTACTGTTTTTCGTTGATATGTAACTAGTGATGTAAAATACCCGGGTATTTAAAACTCGGGGTAAATACCCTGGGTATTTACCCGGGTAAATACCCAAAATCCATAAATACCCGGGTATTTTGGGTATTTATGAATTCATTTATATTTACCCCTAAATATGTTATTGTTATTATTACATGATAAATTAGGATAGTCTATAACACCTTTTACAGTAACTTTTAAAGTCTTTGCTAGTACCTTTTATTTAATGATTCATCACTTTTTTTAAAATATTACATTTAAAGTTTCTAAATAAGCATTTAGTTTTGTGTCTTAAATCGAGTAACATCAGTTAAATTTTTTTAAACTTGCTTAAAGATAGTATATTAAAAAAGGCTGTGACTATTTCAATTGTTATCTTTTTATAAATTTATAACCAATTAAATAACATTTAAACAAAATTATTTTAATTTATAAATATCCAGGAATTGTTGGGTATTTATGATGCAATAAAAACAGTTGATCTTGCCATGAATAGTTTTATTAACAATACATTATTGCGTAGGCCTATAACATTTTAGAATACTCCAAATTCCTAAGGCCTGATTGACATAGGCAGAATACTAAAAGTAATTATAATTAAACTTTTCTGTGTTACCGCTTGGTTGGAAACAATAATATATTTGGATAAACCTACTAAAAAAATGTATCTCCTGTTTTTTGGCCTAACTTAATATAATTTTGAAAGATTTATTGTGCTACAGATTCAAATGTTTTGTATCACAAGTTTATGAAATTAGTTTTTTTATTTTGATACCATTGATACTAACAAAAGATCTGGAACAAAAATATGATTAAATCCTGCCATACTACTGATTGATTTTTAATTATTTTCTTCTTAAAAGTTGTTAACACATAGGCCACTACTAGGTTAAATTTTCCTGTCTTTCTAAATAATAATTATTACTTTAAAAATTATTTTTCTTTCCTTTCAATAAAATAAATTCATCTCTCTATCATAGAAATAAAAAAATCATAAGTAGTCAGGACCAGTGCAACCATGCGACCAGGGTATTTATGCCGATTATGCTTTATGCTGAGACCTGGGTATTTATGGCGATAATACCCATAAGTAAAATGCTAGTAGTGACCATATGAAATGTTGTTTAACACATTTTATTATCATTTTACTATCCTTACAGGGTAATAATTGCAAAAAAACATCTCAATCTTTTCTAACTTTAATACAAATTATAAATACCCAGTTTTTGGGTATTTACCCGGGCCTGGGGTAAATACCCGGGTAAATACCCAATTTATATTTACCTACCCACTGGGTATTTACCCGGCCCACATCACTATATGTAACTAAACTATTAACTAACACAAACTGAAAGAACAACTTATTGTAAAGTATGGAATTTTTTGAAAAGGAATAGAGTTCAGCTAGGTTACCTCAGAAAATCCAGGGACTAATAGATACACAATAATAGAACACAAAACATAGCAATGATATTTTGTCTTGAAGTAGGACTTCTTTAGGGAGTAGGTTGAAGAGAAAACTCTATTCCTATTCAGTAAATTTCTTACTAGAGATATTGGTTTTCCTTTCAAATATAATTTATCGTAAACTATAGCATCTTGTGTGCCACATCATGTGTCATAGTATCAACAACTAAATAAGGGAGAAAATGTAATCTTAACACTATCTCAGTCTGTAAGAGGCTCATTCAACTATAATCTATTTTTTTTTAACATTAGCTATAGCTGGTCCACATTTGGTTTATATTCGTCTTCCCAGCAATTTATGCTAAATTCAACATCAAACTAATTTTAATAACCAAAGTATATACAACATACCCAGTTTTTCAGTATCCTTGACTTTGAAAGACACATCTTTGAGTACTGTAGGTAAGGAGCTACGATACTGCAGGTTGATCTTGTTGAAATGAATGGTTCCCCTTTGTGGCCATCCTTGCCAAGGTTTCCCTTTAGGTCCAGTGCCTCCTTCTGTTTTGAGATTCTGTCAATCGTAAATAACCACAAGTTTCAGTGAACTTTCAAGGAGGATAATGTACTTCTTTTAATCTATTGTAGACAACACTTTAACACCTGTCATTGATCACACAAACAAAACTCAACCATACCACTTTTCTTGATAAAATATCTTTAGTTTAATTTTTAAGACGTGGGATTAACATTTTTGTTAAATAAACAGAACAAATAAAAGTTAATTGTACGTCTTAGTTTTGTTGTCAATCAATATTTACTTCCAATAGCTCTATCACAAAACTTTGGTTGGCCACAAGCCATAGCTCGGCGGGATTTTAAGGACATGAAAATAGATTTATGTGTTGGCTGAGTTTATGAACTATCTTTGTGTAGAATGTCCACCCCAGAACAAAACTGATTTACAGAAACTACCTCTACTTTCTGATATTATAGATTAGAGGTTGTAATTAATTGTGTTACTAAATTTTACCATCTACTAAAATAAAGTTTAAAGTGTATTGATAGAAAAATATTTAACCTAGAGTGGTATTTCAGAAACAAGGTAAGTAGATCTTCCTTGTTCAGACAGTTAGAAATTTGACCTTATAGATCCCGGACATTTGTGAGAGAACTAAAAACAGTTCACCTTCAGTTTCGCTCTATTCAATGCTATAAAAGAACTCTTTACCTGAAGGTAGGAAGTAATTCTCTCTACAGATATAAGTCTTGTCTCAGCTTCAGCAACCATGCGGATGACATATTGGAAGATGCCACTGATGGAGGCAGCGTATGCGATGGCTAGACCTGTCATGGCTGGAGGTACTTGGTTGTGTAGCAGCACTGACAGTATGGCTGTGATCAGTATCATCACAACTGCAACATCAGGAACATTGTTGTAGGCCAGCAGTGGTTGTTCATCATTCTTTTTGAAGCAATGAACAAAGTGGTGTAGAATTTTGCGAGCCGATTGCAGTGTGACATAATCATGGATTGCCTGATACAGGATGCTTCTATGAGGCTACTAGATAAACCTTGGTAGTCAAACGCTGATCATCAAGCAAAATTTCCTCAGCTTTAATCACTGTCACACTTGCTGCCGACCTGGTTGTGAAAACCTCTCATTCACATTTATTTTATTTCAACCCGTTTCTGTCACACTTATTTCAACTGGCAACACATAACAATAGGAGTTGACCCCCTTCTTATAGAAGCCCAAACTTGGCACTTGGTGGAAGAGTTAATTTTCCCTCAAATCATTATCAGCTACAATGACGAAACTAATTGTTGCAAATGGACGAGAACTAGCTAGAATGCAGATGAAGCCACAGTGTTATGAGCACAAAGCTCTTTAGTCAGATTTATAGTTTAAAGTTTTTTAGTTAGATTTATTTTTGCTCACTTGGCCACCACAGGAATTCGATGGAGACATTCATTTACGGGCAGCTTTTGTATCGATAATTGATAAAGGATAGTTATCTGAGGTAATATGACCACAAAAACCGACTATTACAACATTAACAATGGTACCGGAGTTACCATTGTTAAGAGTAGCATTGCGTAAATCATAAGTGTTAAACTGGACTATATGATTACCTTTTTTAAAATACATAACGTAGAAAACTATGTCGCTTTTCTATTGTTGCTTATTCTTTTAATGGATGAAAAAAGATTGTTATTTTAATATTTGTAACTATTTTATGTGTACAAATATAATAGGTCAACTGTTAACTCACCATTCATTGCGTCTATCCTCAGGGCTAGCCATCGCACAGCTGATGTTGCCATGAACAGACAAGTTGAGTTGCGATCAAATGTGTTCGTAAACCTTGAAAATAGTAAAATTATAATTAATTTGCATTCTAGCTCCTGAGCTTGTTGTTATATTCAATGTGATAAATAGGTTTACATATCTTATAATCCTACAAACAGCTCAAATATGACACAGCGGTTTACATGTTTCAGCTTGTATCCGCCACTGTCAAAAAATTGCAGTTGGATGAAGAAATCCTTGTCATTGTTTACTAATAAACTTACAAACACACATACAGGGACTGACTAAGGCATTTCCGAAAAGAAAAAAAAAACTATGAATAGGCCTATTACAATAAATACACAGGCAGGACGTGCACCACTGTGTAGATCAGGTTGCAGACTGAACTAGTTCCATTGTAAATTGTCAGTCTTATCAGCTGATGTAGATAGGCGTCTGCGGTGCACTAAAAAAGTCGGTATGGTACGGTTCTAGCTTAATTACCGTCATCGGTTCGGTACAGCATTTTACGCGGTACAGCGGGGTCATAACAACCATGACGTGAACGATATTGGTAAAGGCCTTGAAATCCTACATGTTTGCAAAAAGGGAAGTAGACTTAACACTCTCGAAGAATTTGAGATTTATAAGGCACTGGTTAATGACAACAAAAATAATCAGAGCCATGATTTTACACAAAAACTTAAATTTAAAACTCACAATATTTTTTACAACATCTTAAACCAAAGGCATAGGTCGACGCCCATTGGACAGTCTACATCAGCTGATAAGACCGACAATGTACAACAAAACTAGTTTAGTCTGCATCCTGACCTTCACTACGATGCAAGTCCTGCCAGTTCGTTTATTGTAACTAGAGGTTGTCCAATGGTTGAAAACTCGACCAAAGATATGTCATGTACACACTTCTCTATTTTCACCTCACCCTGTAAATAAAACATGTGATTGGAACTTCTTCCATCTGTTTTGACTTTCTGTTTGTTTATTTTTATTTCGTCACCAGCATGTCAAGCCTATAAGGTCCATTAAAATTTTAAAAAATGTTTAGTTAATTTTTTGTGGCTATTTTTTTTTTTTAAGAGGTTGGCAGCCTCTTTTAACCTTGCATTTCCCCGTCCACATAGACTACAGATCTGTGCGTGGAACGTATCCAGCAAAGCAAGGGGTGAGCCGGTACAGTACAAAGGTGAACTGTACTGATAAAAGTTTGTGGCAGTGAACAGGATCTGAACCCACGACACTACTGCCTTGGGCCCGAAGTCCGCGACGCTACCAACTGAGCCACCGTTCACCAAACTCATATTTTTTAGCCTATTTTAATTTATAAAGGTTTCTGCACATCTACTGGAAAATATATTTCTAACAGTATGCGTAGATTTCCCTGTGATGGACACAAGCTCAGAAAAAAGGTTTTCAAGAAACGTGGTTGCCTATCAATATATAGGATAGGCATATTCATAAATGATATCAGTTTTCGTAAACATCTTTGTCCCGTCCCTGTATGTGTGTTTGTAAGTTTTTTTAATAAACAATGGCAAGGATTTCTTCACCCAACTGCAATGTTTTGACAATAGCGGATACAAGCCAAAAACTTGTAAACAACTGTGTCATATAAAATAAATAAATAAATAAATATTTCTTTATTGTCACATAACATTTTTTGATTGTAGCATAGCTAAAAAACAGGTGACATTGTCAAATTATGTAATAATAACATTAAAAAGTAAATATAAATATGAATAGCTAGAATTAAAAATTAATCTAATAATTATAAATCATCCACAATGTCTTAGAATTACAATAAAAGGAGATTAAGTGGAAAGTTAAAGATTAAAATAATTACAGAATTGAGCTGTCCATTAACAATTCATTAATGCTGTAATAAGTTTTACCTAGTAAAAAGTTGGCAAGGCTGCTTTTAAAAGAATTAGTATTTATTAATATTTTTAATTTTGGGTCTAATTTATTAAAATGTTTTTTCCCCATGTAGGAAGGCGTTTTTTCAACCAGTTTGAGATTGTGTCTAGGATACTGAAAATTATTTTTGAATCTCGTATTATACATCAAAGTTTCCGCTGCAAAATTGAGGGTAGTTGGATTGTACAGTTAGCAAGGTTTTATAAATAATCAAATTTGGAACTGACATTATATTTAACTGTTTATAAATTGGTTAACATGAAGCTTTCCATGGTGAAAAAGTTATGATTCGCAAAAACCTTTTTTGGACTTTGAAAATTCTATTTATATATGTTGAGTAGCCCCAAAATTCAATACCGTATTGAAGTATGGAGTAAAAATAAGCGTAATACATCATCTGAAGTTTTTAAGTCTATTGTATCCCTTAAACATAAAATTTGGAAACAAGCAGAGTTGAGTTTGCCCAAAACATATTCAACACACCTATCCCACGCCAAATGCTTGTCAATGTACAGGCCTAAAAATTGAACATTTTCATCAGTTGAAAGCTGTGTGAAAGCATTTACATTTTGTCTATTCTGGGGTGTAAAAAATCTAACCAATTGAGTTTTATCTTGATTCATTTTCGATCCATTTTTATCAAACCAGTTCCCTAGCTCATCAAGACACTCAGTAACTTTGACAACTAATTCCTCATAATTTGTTGATTTGACAACTGCAGTAGTGTCATCTGCATACAGAATAAGACTATTGGAAACATTTTTAGGTAAATCATTTATGTATATAAGAAACAGAAGTGGCCCCAGAATGGACCCTTGAGGCACCCCAACTTTAATTTCCTCCCAATTAGATTTTATTTCTTGATTATTTTTAGTTATTTTTGTCCTTTGGAAGCGAGCATTTAAGTAGGATCCAAGCCAAGATATCGATTTAGTATAAAATTTATAAAAGGCTAATTTTTTTAGAAGAAGGTTGTGGTTAACACAATCAAATGCCTTGGACAAGTCACAGAACACACCCATTGTGCACTGCGACCCATCCAAGGCCCATGTCACCTCATCGATGAACTCAGCTAAAGCATTCATTGTGCCAAGGCCTTTTCTAAAACCGAGCTGTTTTTCAGAAAACATATCAAAAGCTTCCATAAAATTTGTGATTTGGTTACAAGCAATCTTTTCAAACACCTTGGAGAATGTAGGCAGGAGTAAAATTGGCCTGTAGTTGTCTGGGTTATGTTTTTCTCCCTTTTTAAAAAGAGGATTAAGCTCTGCAAATTTTAAATGATTTGGGAAAATATTGGTTTGAAAAGATTGATTTATGATAATTGAAAGAGGTTCAGCTATAGAATTGGAAACAGTTTTTATAATGTCAAGGGGAATTTCATCCCAGCCTGCTGATCTTTTATTACTGAAAGACTTAATAACTTTAATTACAACTGTCTTATTTATTGTTTGAAAATCAAACTTTTGAATTTGAGAATCTGTAATCGAATTTTGTGTTAGCCTTAATGCCTCACATTCAGATTGAGATAACCCGATTTCTTTTGAGATATTAACAAATTTAGTATTGAAAAATTCTGCAATATCGTCAGCATTGCTGAGTGTTTGATTGTTTACCTTAATGTCGGGGAAATCATAATCTGCCTTAACCAGACCCAGTTCAGATTTGATTACGGACCAAGCAGCCTTACTCTTGTTTTCAGATTCTCTAATGAATTTAGCATTACACAATTTTTTTTATCTATTACATATTTGCTTGAAAATGACCTTATACTTTTTAACATAGTTAACAAAATCAACATCATTAGGCCTAGATGTTTTAGCTAGTTGACTCAACTGTCGTTTCCTTAAGCTAGATATTCTAATACCTTTGGTAACCCATGGTTTTTTTTATGTCGAACTTTGTTATTGTAAAACTTGAGAGGGAAATATTTGAGCTGCTTGTCGGATTATAAGGTATGTAAACTTATTTATCACATTGAAATTGTAAAATCTATTATGTCTGAATCCACATGTTTTTGTCAAATTGTATTAACTTTTTAATTGCTATTGTTTTTTTTGCAAACAATAGTGTTACAAATAATTTTTATTTACATTATGGTGTGTAGCAATTACACAACATTGTACCTCAATTTTCATAATTGCATTATAAATTTAAGTCAATGACCAACATGTTAAATTTGAAAATATTTTTTAACATTGTAGATATTACGATTTTAAGTTCAAAACCAAAACACTAAATAATCTTTAAAGGGTATAAATTTGAATCAAAAAGCCGTCTTCAGAGCCTTACACAAAGTCATAAATAATTATAGATACTTTGGAAAATTTTGTTCAAAATGTTATAATGCTCATCTAGGTATAATGAACAAAACGAGGCTTACCAACAAGACTTTTCCACAACGACTAGCAGCAAACAAAATACCAACTAGATGAGTTAATTTTCTTATGATCAAGAAACTAAGTATATCAAAATTAAAAGTTGAAATAAAAGATAAGATTGGTCCAAAAAAGATTGATATGCAAAAATGAGAAGTAAAATGCAGGAAAGTTATGGATGATAAAAGAAACAGGGTTAAAATTAAAAAATATTAGTTTTTATGATTAACTTTATGCAAGAAACAAAGAAAATCCATCAGATATTTTGCTATCTAGCTCTGCTTGTGAAAAATCTCCAGTATTTTAAAGCTTTAAATCTTAACACTGTATGACTAGAATTAAGTAATAACTGTGGCTGTAAACTGACTTGCTGATAAACTCGTTCTCTTTGCCAAAGGCGTGTATAGTGGACAGTCCCTGGACAGTGGCAGACACAGAACTAAAGATGGGAGATCTTGATGTGTTCTCCAATCTCTTGAGATCTCTTACTGCAACTCTGCAAAGTAGTTCAAGCAAATTAAACAGGTTATTGATAAATATGTTGCATAGTCAACAATTACCTATGTAATAAATCTTTTTATGAAAACACATATGGGTTCTTCAATTTGACAAAATACTGCAGAGACTAGAGTTTATTTGTATTTATGGCTGGTAGTGATGGTCAAAACCAGAAATTTTGAATCTTAAAACCGAAACCGAAACTTTAAAAAATCAAATCCCGAATCTCGAGTCTCAAAACCTAAACGCACAATTTTTTTACTTAGCTGGTTACAAAGGTCAAGGTTACAAAAAATACACATAATCATAAAATGTTAAGTATGCAATCAAAACTGAAAGAGATAGACTCCTGACCGTGACATAACATAAATATGTGAATGTGACTGATAATCTTAAAACCCAATACAACATAATTGTTCATAAACAACCAACAAAAAAAATAAATTAAAATTGTAACACCAACATAAACATGAATATTAGATTAATTAGGACATTTAGTTGTCAATATTTCTTTGTATTTAGTAAATATTGATGTGAAACTGAATTGTACCAGTTATAGTATTTAAAATCCCTTTTGAAGTTCAGAATGAAAATTACTTGTTTCATTACTGTTAATGGTGATGTTTGCTCTGTTGCTACCAGCTTGTTTGGAAACAGTGTTAAAAACAATTACAATAGCACAAAAACATGTCAGCAGTTTCAAAAATAAAACTGTCATAATCTTCAATTTCAAAACTTTTGAATCTCAAAACTTGGTGATCGAATCTCGAAACCAAAACTTTTCCTAAGTTTTGATGGTTTTGAGATTTGAGATTCGGTTTTGACACATCACTAATGGCAGGTATCACATAAGTATGCACTTGCTGGTTGAATATTTCTCTCCCCTTCTCAGTAACATGGCATTTGACTTTAAAATAAACCTTAACCATCTAAACCAAAAAAACCAGTGATTGTCCAATAACAAAATAGAATCACCATAGAATGTTAGTGGAACAGTAAAATCTCTAAAACCTGGTCCTTCCAATAGTCTGGCAGTCTGAGATATTGACTTTAGAGCCTATTTATACCCATCTTTATGTACAACTGTATGCGTGCATTTGTCTTTTCCAGTTGTGTTGCGGTTTTGCTTAGTGCCACTTGCTTCTCAGGACAGTGAAGTTATGTTTGTAGAAATGTTATGCTACAATGTGAAAATGTAAACACATCACATTTAACTTTTACTGACAAAAGTGAAATTCAAGTTCTGAACCCCTTAGAAAAATGCAAGAAATACTTCACGAGAAAGTACATCACTTATCATACTCTACTAAATGTTTACATTTTTTTTCCATTTCCTCTTTACTGTTCACTAGTCCGCCACATTTACTAATCCAGCACAACCTAATTACGATATAAAGGGCTGGATTAGAGAGTCCACTCTATAAACAAGACTCGGAGGATAAAAATAATTTAATCTACTACAATAAGATTACCTGAATATCCTGCTGACAGATATGAAAAAGAGCGAGAGAATCAGCAGTGGGACGATGAACCACGGGAAGACTATGCAGATGAAGAGAATGGCAAACATGAGCGTACAAGCATCTTCCAGCATACACTCCAACGTGAAGGGCAAGTGGGAGTCAACTGAAAGTTCAGGAACAACATAGAGCTCAACTGATATAAACTCTGTGTGTAGGGGAAAGGAAGAAAAGGATCTCAACAACACTGAGTCACACTATTAGACACTAGTGACATTACAGTATATTCCATTATACCGGGTTTTCCTACACGCGGAAGCGGAGTGCGGAGAGAGCAACGTGGAGAGCGGACTTCTCTTGTCTTAGGTAATTTAATGTTACTGTTTTCCTAGAAGCAGAGCGGAATGCCATATTAATCGCTTTTCTGCTCTCCGCGCTCTTCTTCCGCGTCAAGGAAAACCCGGGTTTAGCAATTGATTGTCTACTGTGCACTACTGTACAAATAGAAAATACCAAAAGCAACGGAGACGAGCAAAGCGTTCTTGTGAACATTGCGTATCCTGCTTGCCACTCTAATTGATATTATCTCTACCCTAGAGTACAGTAGAAAATACAATTAATATTTCAACTTTTTACTAATTACAACAATCCTTTTATAGCCTCTGGATTCCTCATGACAAATAGTCTACCTTACATCTGACAAGATATATTAGAACACTGCTCACGATTATACGTAGGTATAATCACACTAACATTGTAGGATAATCTTAATCTTTGATGTTCCAGAAAATAGGCTCGCTTAAACTAACAAGATAACAAGATTTGCCATCTGGTAAATTGTGCAAGATTTGTTAATAACTCATGACTTTTTTGAGTTATACAATTCAGTGGAATTACAGTGACTTGTTAAACATTTATTTTACTGTAGGCCTATGATACATAAGGATGTGCGAATAATCAAAAGTTCAAATAGTTGAACTAATACTTAAGTATTCGAGCCCGGATCACTATTAATGAGTATTGACCATCATAACTGTAAACTGACATTGTATATTCAAACATTCAAATAGTAAATACCCCTATAAATAATGTGTAGCTCCACCAAATAAATCATAGTATTGTTTTTTTTTATTTCATCCCAACATTTCACAATTCCTAATTTGTATAAATTATCACATCTTCAACTTCAGCATATCATGACAATCTTCCTCCGAAGTCTACACAACACGCCATTTCCAATTCCAAGGACGATAATTTGTTGTAAGCATTATTTAAATCACTCAATATTAAATTGTACCTTCGTCCAAGTCTTTAGAAAATAGATTCTGCATCCGGCCCATTGGAGTGGTTTCAAAAAACTGCATTGGAGCTTTGATTACCTTGTCGAATAACAGGGAATGCAACGTTCTTGAAGCCTTTAATGACACCTAAAAATAACACACCAAAGTTTTTACTAATAAATATGATAAATAAATATAATATAATGGAAAATTGGAACAATAGAATTTTAACTGGACAAGTTAGCTAAATATAAAGTGATTGAAATAACTCAATATGTTACAATCATTATGTCTTGTGGATTATGATATCTCATCAAAACACCATGTATAAACATAGTATTTTAAAAATGTAAACTTTCGTTGTAATGACTAATATTGTAGGACAAAGTTGATTTGAGTAATTGCAAGCAGCACACCCTGAAAAATCGTAATTCAACAACATTCATTTAGATCAGGAGTTACCAACCTAAGGCCCGCAGAAAGCCATTACATAGGGTAGTGGAAAAAAAACTAACACTGATGATCTTCTGCCGTGATTGCATCAACCATACTTGTATACTTGGTTGTCTCCCTGGATCTCGGCCATACTAGTGACTAGTGAGCATATATTGCAGTCTCGACCATGATTGTCACTTACAATGTCAGAAACACTCGTAAGTATATATGGCAAAAGCAATATTCTCACTAAAAATCATTTATCTTTTTACGCTTTACACTTGATTTAAAAAAATTACAATGAGGCCATTGAGGAGAAAAGGTTGGAGACGCCGGAATTATATACTAATACTGGCTGTGCAGCTTTAACGTGTAAATGAGAAATCTAATATTTTATGAATAGTCAAAGTCTACATACCTTGGCATAGACCAGTCCCCGTATCAGGTTCGTAGCTATGATAGCTACAATGGTGAGAGCGTAGACGGTTCTGTACATTTCAAAGTCTGGGTTGTCTGCCAGATTGGGGTTGATTACAGTCACATTTCTGGTTAATGTCTCATTGTCGACAATAAACGATTCAGTTCTGGTAATTGAACTGTTCTGTGGAAAAAAATAAGCACTTAAAATATATGTCACCAACAAACTATTCTGTCAAAAGTTTACTCAAAAGCAAAAAGTTGGAATGAAAAAATAAATTGAAAAGATAGTAAACAGGCCTGACAACACAGCCTGATTTTTGATCACATGGCAATATGAACGACTAATTTATGTCAAATAAAAAATATTTGAAAATCATAAATGTTATTTTATGTGCCTTAAAATTACCGTTAAAATTTGTTTCGACTGGCATCATTTCATAATTTGGTTAGGACAAAATATTCACGGTCATAAAGGCTGTAGTATAAGTGTAAAACCACTGGGTACAAGTGCAAGTATTGACTAGGTTGAATAACAGCCTAACCTGTATCTACTTACCCCAGATCCAGCCTTTATCCACAACGCCAGCCACCAAGAGCTGAAGGCAGTGACACCAACATTCAACACAATAATGCCCACTACCAACATCACCACAAAAACACCCCCCGCTGCTTTCATGTAGCTAGAGAACGTCTCAGGGTGGAGTGTTCCTCTCTCAATGTGTTCTGCCTGAGTGAGAACACCTGCTCCTCCTGTTAAGAATAAATGTTTACTTACACACTAGAAGTTTTCTTCAAGAATATTGAATGACTACTCCTGTTTACATTAGCCTCAAACCTGAATATCAATCAATTCAAGGGGTGAGGCAGTATTGTACAAGAATTAACAATACTGACACATTCTGAATGGTAGTACTGTAACGTACACCATCAACATCAACCATCGCTGCCTCCTGAGCCACCAACTTACTACCAGAGGATTATAAAAACAGGCATTTCTTCTTCTATTCCATTTAACCCTCTCCATATTCCCCTATCCCTCCACAGTTCCTCTTCCTTTCCTTTATCGCCATCAACTCTATTTGCCCATCAATTCTCTCTTTTTCACACGTACAAACCTTGTACAAAATAACTGAATAAGAACTATGAAATGAAAGATATTTAGTTAAGCCAACATTTTAGGTTATTCTTTTACATCACCTATGTTACTTTTTCTGACACAAGGGTCAACGTCCAGGAGTCATTAACAATATTTGGAAATTGCCTGGATATGCTATAGTTATGTGCAACTAATGAGCAAAGTGAGCAATTGCCTCACTTGAGAGAAATCTTTACTTTACGTTTCTCGAGTGAGGCGATTGCACTTTGCACTCGAGTTGCACATTATATTTTTCCTACAGTTACCATAAAACAAATAAATTGGTAAAGAAACGTGCCCTCACGTTGCAAATCTGGATTGAGAAAAAGTAATTAGAGTGAGACAATGTTAACATTGTCTCACTGATGAGCGAATTGGCCACTTTGCTTTCTCAAATCAGTGAAAGAACATGTACATTGTTAGGTAGGAGGAAAAGGTATATTTTAAATTGTCAAAGGACATTTTATACCTGGGGTGGTGGTATTTCCATTTTGAGCTGGTACTTCTTTCTCCAATTTGCCGTTTGTTACAATTTTCTCCTCACCACATTCGCCATTAACACCTAACACTTCCACATTACTGAAACCATATTTCTACATCAGACACATTAAAATATATACTTTTATACTTTGGTTCACACAAATAAGATAGAACGGTGTCAAAACCACTCAATACGCCAATAAGGAGTCAGTTTTGGTAGTTTTGTGCGATCTCAGTAAAGCATTGGATAGTGTTCCTTTTGATAAACCAATGTATAAATTATCATACTATGGCACTTTAATAGTAATTAAATCATATTTGTATGGTTGAAACTAGTATGTATCAGTTAAAAATAAATGATCATAACCCATTTTTGAAAAATTCACTAAACACAGCAATCAAAAACAACAACAAAATAATTCCCCATTCACAAACTTACGACAGCTGAAATTCAGTCAAAGAGAAACAACATTTAACGATAAAAATACATTGCTAAACGGCTGTCTCCAATAGTCACCATGAAGCCCTGAATTAGCTGAACTAACTGTATAAGTAAGCTTGGGCATTGATCACACATATATAAAAATAACAAACAAAACTTAGTGCCTACTCGCCCGATTTTGGGCGAGCGATACTCATACACATCAGAAAACCCACCCAATATGGGGTGGGCGACACTTTGAGTGTTCAGGATCAACCTCTTGATTATACTATAAATACTATGAAGTGTGGTTGGCTAGTTGTTGGTTAAACACGTCATTCATTGTGAAATGCAAAGGTACGCTATTTTGGATTATAAATCATTCACGAATGTGAGCTAATGAACTTGGAATTATTTATATTAGGTGACTTCAGAGTGTTCCAAACAAACAATGATGTGCCACTCTTTACAACCTTCAAAGTCATTCGAGTTTTGCATCATAACATCCTTTTTCAGAATCGGTATAGAGTAAATGAACCGAAGTATCAGTGTATAGTGATACTCGGTATAACAATACTTCTGGTATCGAAGGTATCGAGGTCTCAAGAATCGTAATTGGCCCATCCCTACTAAATTCGCAATTTCTTGTTACAATGTTGCCTCACCTGTCAATGGCAGCTGTGTTGGCAGCATTGTTCTGTGACTGTTGCCAGGTTTGTACCATTGAAGCGTACTCTCCTACCTGCTTCAACAGCTCCTCATGAGTCCCTCTCTCAACTATCCTACCATCTTTCATCACACATACTTCGTCACAACGGTTCAAAAACTGTAAACAAAACAATCACAGTTGATGAACTTTTGAAAATTTAAGAATTGTGACCTCATCTGATAGATTTTGGTAGTTAAATATCTCTCAATTATGGTAAAGCTCTAAATAGTCTATACTTATGGTATCAAATAAAAACTCTTTCCCTTTATGTACCTGTTGCAGGCATAAATAGGATTAAGTCTTTTGCTTCATCTAGTTTGCTTTTAAAGCTCCTACCTCTCTATGATAGAGTTGTGTTTGTCACCTTTAAACAACCTAGTAAAAAAAGCTTAAAAAATGTTATCTTATGATTATCTATGATTTTAAGTAGAAGTACAAAAACAGACATTTTTAGATTTATTTAAATTCAAAACTTTATTCAGAAAAATGTTGAGATGTATGAACAGAGCTTCTTCGGAAGTACAAAGATGTTTGCCAAAGTAGACTTACTATAGGCCTACAACTTACAAAAGATCCTGCGCAGAAACCATTTCACGAGTCACTCGCGCGCGCAGAGGGGTGACGGTGGCGGCGCTGGCGGGGAAGTGGGCGAGGCAGTGGTGGGGATCAGTTGTGCGCTGCCGCCAGTCTAGTCGTATCGTCTCTGTGCCCGCGCGAGCCCCGACACAGGCTCTACTCGGGGGCAGTGACCTTGATCATGGCCTCAACCTCTAAATCGTCGTGTTCTTCTGGTAGACCATTGCGAGGTCAAGCACGCGAAGTTGTTTATAACGTTTACAAACATTTGAAGGAGCAAAAAGAGCAGTTTAAACTTAAATATAATGTTGCTGAATCAGCAAGTATTGCCACCGGCGTGTCAATTGCATTAGTTAAACGCATTGCAGCTGAAGGGAAACAGTCCTTGGTCAGTAAGGGGTCCCTAAGTTTTTCGACGCCGTCGGGCAAATCTAAAAAAAGAAAGTCAAAGATTTTTATCGACGGATTCACGCGAGATGTGATTAGAAGGAAAATCCACGAGTTTTACGTTGTAAGAAAAACACCACCCACTTTGTCAAAACTGAAATCTGTGCTTGAAGAGGAAAACGTTTTGAAGTGTAGCCGCGAATACCTTAGACGAACGCTTCATCAAATGGGATTTCGAGGGGAAAAATGTAAAACAAACAGAAAGATCCTTATGGAAAAGCCGGAAATAGTGAAATGGAGGGCAGATTATTTAAGAGAAATCAGACGTTTAAGAAACCAGAATAAGACCATAGTGTACCTAGACGAAACTTATGTAAATAAGAATCACACTGTTTCAAATTGTTGGCAGTCTGAGTCTGAGTTAGGCTCAACAAAGTCCATAGGAAAAGGCCCTAGACTCGTTATAATTCACGCAGGTTCTAAACAGGGATTTGTGCCTAATGCACTACGTATGTGGCAGTCTGATAAAAAGAAAAAACAATCAGAGGACTATCACGACGAGATGAATTTCACGAACTTCTCAAAGTGGGTTTCAGAAGCACTTTTGCCTAACATTCCCCGCCAATGTGTAATAGTTCTCGATAACGCAAGTTACCATAATAAGCAGGATGGCAAAAAACCAACCGCCTCCTCAGTCAAACAGCAAATAATCGACTGGCTCTTGAAAAATAACATTACTTGTTCACCAACAATGACAAAATCAGAATTACTAGTTCTTGTAAAATCTGCTCCCGTTCCAAAAACGTACACAATAGATAAGCTGTTTTATGACGCAGGGCATGATGTTTTACGCCTGCCACCTTACCACTGCGATTTGAACCCTATCGAACTCGTTTGGGGCGATATCAAGGGAAGAGTAGGAGAGTGTTTGACCGAGAGTATGGCTGCAAAGAAAGAAATGTGTATGAGACTTTTTTCTGAATATACGCCTGAAAATGGAAGAAATGTTGCGAACATGTGGAAAAAATTGAAGAATTATATTGGGAGAGGGATGCACTAATGGACGAAAATGTGGATAGAATTATAATATCATTAAATGACGATGATAGCAAAAGCAGTGAAAGCTCGGATAATGAAACCATTCACAGTTTGCCAAGTGAAGATGGAAATAGCGATTTTGAGGACATACGAGTGCTCGATTTCGACAGTTACTAACTGAACGATGTTGAAAATATGATGTATTAGTGTGGGATGAGTGTTTATTTAAAAAAAAAATTTGTTAGGTGTGAGAACTATTTCCGTTTAAAGGTTTACGTGCAAGAATAGTAATATAGGCTAATATTTATATATACAATATATTGAGAGTGAGCGAAACAACCAGTGCATTATCTGTTTGTAAATACTGCCGTTTGAAGAACATACACATGCCGTCTAGCCGTCTACACGTCCAATGGAATAATGGAATAAGGTAGTAGAATTTCCTTATGTACTTATTTAATAGTTTAAAACATATTTGAATGTACTATTAACTCGTATACATGTATATTTTACCTTAAAACATGTTATAGATTTTTTTATAAATAATTATTACAAAAAAAGTCACAATTTTGTTGTTAAACTATTGAGGGCATAAAAGGCACGTAGTTTGTAAATAAATTAATGCCATTATCATGGGTTCAAAGTTACACCTGAAACCTTATATTAAAATTTAAAAACGAATTTACGCTATACTTATGACTATGCATGTGTTTTTTATTTTTTATTAATAATTAAAACTTAAGTTACTCAAAGCAGCGATGGCCTGGTGTGGAGTATGGGCACGTATGGGTGACGCGTTGGCGACCGACGTGTCGTCGGAAGTCGGAAGGTGAATAGAGCGGGATCAGTGGCGGTGGTCGGGGTAGTAGGGGAGGGGGACTCGATCCCCCGCCACACCGCTGAAACCGCTCTCCCCCTCCACACCTGCGCGAGCCACACCGTGTGAAGGCTCTTTTCTAAGTTGTTTACCTATACTTGTTGTTCTGAAGAAGCCTCCCTGGATGGGCAAAATATCAAGTATTCCTAAGCCAAGAGCTTTTTCTTTTTTACCTAAAAGTCAGTCCAGTAAGACAATGGGTACCTGTATCTGATGGGTCACAAATATGACAGACTTTTGTTGTAGGGCTTCCAAAATGTACTTGTTGAAGATGTGAGCTCCAACATGGGCATCCACTGCACTCAACGGATCATCCAAGAAATATATGTCTCTGTGGGAGGTAAAAGAAAATTACTGCTACATCCAGTATGGTGCAGTTCATAACAACTAACTGAAGTGGTATTTTCAGACATAGCGCTCATTATTAAAATATTTTATTTTCTAATTGCTTAGTTTTTAATCGAAAATACAGGAATAATTGGAGCAAGTGCTGACTAAACACTTTTGGTACAAGTGGCAAGTTTTTATTATAGATACCGATGAATTGATTGGTGATAATTATGATTTGAGCCAGAGCCTTTAGGACCACTGTTCTAACACTCAACCCCTAAACCAGTGGCACACACAGTATGACATACATCTTTGACTATTGATATGATACATCCCATTCCCAAGTCTATCTGAGTCTAGTTTAAGAATATGTATGAATTGAACCACCGACATAGTATGCTGATTTCAATTATTGGTTTCTGCCGAATACGCTAATTTTCAAAGCAAGCCAAAATGAAAAGAAAATCTCGTCACACATCAACACATCAATTATCAAAGTATCGATAAATAACAAACAGATACATTTTTGACAGTTTATTTAACCATGTTGATGGAGAGAGGAAGACACTGGTAACACTCACCTGTTAGCATAGAGAGCTCTAGCCAGAGCCACTCTCTGTTTCTGACCTCCAGACAAGTTTATTTAACTATGTTGATGGAGAGAGGAAGACACTGGTAACACTCACCTGTTAGCATAGAGAGCTCTAGCCAGAGCCACTCTCTGTTTCTGACCTCCGGACAAGTTTATTTAACTATGTTGATGGAGAGAGGAAGACACTGGTAACACTCACCTGTTAGCATAGAGAGCTCTAGCCAGAGCCACTCTCTGTTTCTGACCTCCAGACAAGTTTATTTAACTATGTTGATGGAGAGAGGAAGACACTGGTAACACTCACCTGTTAGCATAGAGAGCTCTAGCCAGAGCCACCCTCTGTTTCTGACCTCCAGACAAGTTTATTTAACTATGTTGATGGAGAGAGGAAGACACTGGTAACTCTCACCTGTTAGCATAGAGAGCTCTAGCCAGAGCCACTCTCTGTTTCTGACCTCCGGACAAGTTTATTTAACTATGTTGATGGAGAGAGGAAGACACTGGTAACTCTCACCTGTTAGCATAGAGAGCTCTAGCCAGAGCCACTCTCTGTTTCTGACCTCCAGACAAGTTTATTTAACTATGTTGATGGAGAGAGGAAGACACTGGTAACTCTCACCTGTTAGCATAGAGAGCTCTAGCCAGAGCCACTCTCTGTTTCTGACCTCCAGACAAGTTTATTTAACCATGTTGATGGAGAGAGGAAGACACTGGTAACACTCACCTGTTAGCATAGAGAGCTCTAGCCAGAGCCACTCTCTGTTTCTGACCTCCGGACAAGTTTATTTAACCATGTTGATGGAGAGAGGAAGACACTGGTAACTCTCACCTGTTAGCATAGAGAGCTCTAGCCAGAGCCACTCTCTGTTTCTGACCTCCAGACAAGTTTATTTAACTATGTTGATGGAGAGAGGAAGACACTGGTAACTCTCACCTGTTAGCATAGAGAGCTCTAGCCAGAGCCACTCTCTGTTTCTGACCTCCAGACAAGTTTATTTAACTATGTTGATGGAGAGAGGAAGACACTGGTAACACTCACCTGTTAGCATAGAGAGCTCTAGCCAGAGCCACTCTCTGTTTCTGACCTCCAGACAAGTTTATTTAACTATGTTGATGGAGAGAGGAAGACACTGGTAACTCTCACCTGTTAGCATAGAGAGCTCTAGCCAGAGCCACTCTCTGTTTCTGACCTCCAGACAAGTTTATTTAACTATGTTGATGGAGAGAGGAAGACACTGGTAACTCTCACCTGTTAGCATAGAGAGCTCTAGCCAGAGCCACCCTCTGTTTCTGACCTCCAGACAAGTTTATTTAACTATGTTGATGGAGAGAGGAAGACACTGGTAACTCTCACCTGTTAGCATAGAGAGCTCTAGCCAGAGCCACTCTCTGTTTCTGACCTCCAGACAAGTTTATTTAACTATGTTGATGGAGAGAGGAAGACACTGGTAACTCTCACCTGTTAGCATAGAGAGCTCTAGCCAGAGCCACTCTCTGTTTCTGACCTCCAGACAAGTTTATTTAACTATGTTGATGGAGAGAGGAAGACACTGGTAACTCTCACCTGTTAGCATAGAGAGCTCTAGCCAGAGCCACTCTCTGTTTCTGACCTCCAGACAAGTTTATTTAACTATGTTGATGGAGAGAGGAAGACACTGGTAACTCTCACCTGTTAGCATAGAGAGCTCTAGCCAGAGCCACTCTCTGTTTCTGACCTCCAGACAAGTTTATTTAACTATGTTGATGGAGAGAGGAAGACACTGGTGACTCTCACCTGTTAGCATAGAGAGCTCTAGCCAGAGCCACTCTCTGTTTCTGACCTCCAGACAAGTTTATTTAACTATGTTGATGGAGAGAGGAAGACACTGGTAACTCTCACCTGTTAGCATAGAGAGCTCTAGCCAGAGCCACCCTCTGTTTCTGACCTCCAGACAAGTTTATTCCCCTCTCCCCAATCTCAGTCTCATCTCCTCCTGGTAGCATGTTGATGTCTTCATTCAGTGCACAACAGTTCAGAGTGTAGAAGTATCTGTGAAACATACATCAACTGACAACCACTACAAGACAAACCAAACTTCAAAATATCAATATGCTTTATGTGTAAAATATTTCTAAACCTCTATAATAGATTTGTCAGCATTTCACTAATTTTCCATCTATATTTTTGTTCACAAACAGCTTTGTTGCAATGGCATAAATCAAAGATATTCCCAACAGCAGTTTGATTACTTAACAAAAGTTTCATATGTTAACCAATGTTTTATGTTTTATGTAATAAACCACAATATATTAAATTTATCGATAGCCTAAATTTTTTAAGAAAAGTTGATCATGTATACGCTCTTTCTTGCTTAATTTATTCCTTAATCAAGGTGTTTTTTTTCTCAAATTACAAAATCAAGTGTATACCAGCCAACCTTAGCACAACAAATTAAACTTAATATTTCATCCCTCCTAGGAGGCTTCTTCAGAAACATGTAGGAGAAAACTATATTAGTAAAAGTTGTCTTATTCTTTCTTCTGAAATAACCCTTTAATTTTAATGTGTTGTAAAACTGTTTGTACTCAACCAACTACCTGGAACTAATTTCTTAGGCAAGTTAGTTCTATTTTTTCTTTTCCCTTCAATATTCTCCTTTTCCAAGAGCCAATTAATCCTTGAGCCATATGCTTCTGTAAACCAAATCAAAAATCAAAACTGATAACAAAACAGTTCACAACACATAAGACTTGATATTTTGCTCCTCCCAGTAAGGATTGTTAAACTTCTACCATTGAATATTTACTGTGTCCTTTAAAGCTGAAACCACCTTAGAGTGACGAATTATCAAGTTTAATGTTTAATGTGTTTTAAACATTTTGCGTCCTAACAAGTGAATACAATTTCTCTATTATGAGTTAGTTATGTCTCTGTCCTTTCCTTAACATAATCCCAAGCCAAATGCGGTTTTCTCCAATCACAGTTTATCACCTTTTAGCGTTGAATGCCTCTCCAAACAGAACATTCTCTCTGAGAGTAGCATTGAGTATCCAGGCCTGTTGACTCACATAGGCACATGTTCCTTCCCTCGACACTTTGCCGCAGTCCATCTTTAGCTGGCCTAGGGCTGCGGACAATAGTGAGGACTTTCCTGCCCCAACTTGTCCACACACGCCGATCAGGCTACCCTAGAAACATGAGTTTTGGAATACAAATCCACACATGAGAGAAATAGAGTTTCAACACAATAATTAACCAGCTGTCCTAGGCCATTATCTCTTCATAACGATCGTGGCTTAAGAAACAGCTAAGTAAAGAAGAAATGTGTTGTAAATAAGAAGAGATTATTTAAGTTATTATTTGGACAATGTTAGGGTAGAAAGGACATTAGTGAACTTTGGAATTTGGGTTCAGAGATAAGCCCCCTCCCCTACTAGAGCGAGACGATACTTCAGTACGAGTTGAGATCCAGGTATGGCTAGACGTGTCTATCTGTTCTGATTGATTAGTTATTGGATACTGTCCTCCAATAAAGCTAAGTTAGTAAAAATTTGAATTCAGTTCAAAGTATTTAAACATATGTTTTCCGGATTAAAACAAATTGAATGTATGAATGGATGATTGTAACTACGTGATTTTTAAGAATCCGTTTCACAGTTGGTGCAAGTAAGCATCAACATAGCCTCGACCACTAGCCTGCTGCCCTGATGTTGGGAATCGTGACGGCGCCAGGGTTTGTGAACCATGATGTCATCAATCAGCTGGGATCAAATCAGCTGTTTTCCCATCCCTAGGGGATTAGGGGGGGAAAGGAAATTGGATTCCTCTTGGGTGAGGGATGAGATGACCATTCTGACCCTGTGGTTGACTGTGTGTCTCTAGGTTCAGTAATTTTGCTACAGTAAACTCCCTCTTATCCAGACACCTTTTAACCAGACAACACTCGGCAGGAATGACATCTCTTTAACCAGACAATTTTTATCAGCACATCGGTTTAACTGGACTAGATCGGCAGGAAGTGGTTGGTACTGAAACGACTTTCAGTGGAAAAATTTCGTGGAAAGATTTGAGACCAGTGATCAGGTGTCTAAATACAATGCTCTCCTAAATTTAAGTCAAATATTTGGGTTACATAAAAATTTTTTTGGGATGTCGGTTTAACCGGAAAACCCGTTATTCGGACTGGCCTCGGTCCCGAGGAGTCCGGATAAGAGGGAGTCTACTGTAATTGCAAAAACTATTTTACTTTTAGTCGGTTTTTAGTGAAGGTAACTGAATTATAAAGGTAATTCACCGTTTTATTCTTAATAGTGTTTACTGTTATTAAGAGTGTTTCTTTCGCGATTAAACCTCATTTGATTATTTTATTTTATTAATAGAATTCATGGCAGGGCCTTTATCATATGAATGCTGTGTGATGTGCTGTGAACCTGTTTAAGTCCAAGTTAGCATATGCTTGCGTAATATGTGATCAAGATTTATACAGTTAGATATATCGTTAGGTTTGTGTTCATAATCGAGGGCGACGAGGTTTTGTTGAATAAACTATTAAGATTTAATCTGGTATTAAACCGATGCGAGCTAAATTGAACCTGTCGAAGCTGGTCGTGCAAACTTGTGGTCGGGTGAGCACGCAAGTATAAGGTAGGGATTTTAATTTTCAAGGTTGATAAATCTGCAGCAAATATTTGGCTTCATAATTTTATCATTGGTAGGAATTTACAGTACCCAAGAAGAACACCTTTACGATGGTAAAAAAAAACTGACACATTTTAACAAACATTTTTAATTACAAAGTTTTAACTACATGGGAACATTTACCATGTACAGATAGCACCGTTAATGGCTTTGCTGGCGTTAAATCAAAATTTAGCACATTGCACACTTTTGCTGCATTTTAGGGATGGAATTAACTTTGCATAGGTAACGCCGGCAGACCCTTAAACGGTGGCCATATTGAGATTTATTGAATATCACCAAACATATGTTCATAGCGAGAAAAACTTCAAGTTACAATTTTATTTTATTTTCTTTCCCCTGCGATTTAACCTTTCTTTACTCAGAATTCTGAAGTATCAACAAGAAACAATATGGCTGGTAATTCAATCCTGAGAAAACTCAATAGCTTTTAGATGGTTCAAAACTGATCTCGGTCCTTTTAATCATCAAGCTTTTAACAAATAAATAACCCTGGCTCAAAAAGCACTTAGTAAGCGTTTCCTGGACTTGCATCTTTTTCAGTAACAAAACTACACAGATAATCACTCTCCACTCAACACTCATTCTGCACTGAGGCCCAACAAAACTTTTATTTGTGGCTGTTGAATCTATAATAATGATAAAAGTAATGATTTTAACACTTTGCTTACTTTAGGCACATAGAAGTTGATGTCTTTTAGCACAGGCTCAATTTTAGGAAGAGAGTTAAGAACTGTTGTCTCCTCTGGATTTGCTGGAATGTGTTGAGTTTTCTTGGCTCGCAATGAGCTGTAAAAAGATTTGTAATGAATCAAATCAAATATTTCTTTATTCATAATATGTACAATTTATGTACAATGAATGGTTTTAGATCTTATTTCTAAGAAATAAAAATAAGTACATTAAAATTAGCATATTTACAAGTATAATACAGTACACCTAAATCTTACCAACAACGCCATTTATTTTATTTAAAAACTCATTAATTTAATAACAAGTGATCTCAATCATGAATGCCTTTAAATTTTTTTTTTAATTTCTTAATGTTAGTTTCACTTTTCAATCTTTCTGGCAATCTATTAAAGGATTTGGCGCCCTTATATGTGGTCTTTTTTAAATTATAGTTTATGTGTTCCTAATTTCAAATCATTTTTGTGCCTAGTGTTATAAGTATGATTATGGCCAAGAAAACTGGTATAAGTCATGTTTTGCTTCACATACATAACACATTCATATACATATCAATTTTACAGAGGATACACGTCCGGTGGTAACCGGACGTAGATTAGGCGTAGATTAGGTAACTACCGGACGCCTAATCTACATCCCCGGACGCATATCCTCTGCGTAAAAATTAAATAATGATAAAATTCCTAGTTCACTAAACCCATCTTTTACATGAGCCTTGTTCTTCAAGCCTAGCATGATTCTTATACGTTTCTTTTGGAGTTTCAATATATTTTTTAAGTTTTTGTGTGTTGTTGATCCTTATACACAAATGTTATATGCCAAATGTGAGTGAGTCGAGCTAAAATGTATTACTTTTAAAGTGGCTAAATCGCAGAATTTAGATAATCTTCTTAGGACAAAAATTCCTGAATTCATTTTTGTCTTTGTTTGGTTATAAAATTATAATCTAAAAATTATACATAGATTCCCTGTAAAATTTATTGCACATATACTTGAGTTGTCCATAAATTAAGGTACGTATCCAAAAACTCCTGTACAGTTTAGTTTGGAAAACTGTGAAAATTACTTCCCCTCCATTTTGTTGGTTAGTCCTTACCTCACTGCAAGATTTAGTCTTCTCATAGTAGTTGCTAACAATAACAATGGAAGAGAAATGAAAATCAACTTTTTTGCCAAGTGTGAGTGAAATTGTTTGCTTGATCACCACTAGAGCTCATGGTAACCTCAATTTACAGAAAAGCCTATCTGTATTACACTAAAAATTATAATGTTGTATGTATACTTATTAATGAATAGAGCCAGTGTTTAGCAAGTAAGGTTTTAAATAAAAATGTATAATGGGTTTCACAAATCAAACAGTATTGTTGTTTCATTGTGCCAATGCTACAATCAGCTCTGAAACTACTTAATTTTCAAAGACGACATGAAACTCGTCCTTTCAACAGCTCATAACATAGTCTGGTATGAATGTTGTCGCACTCACCCCCGCAGAGTGAAGGATCCGCCCTTCTTGCTACTCTTGGCAGTTTTCCTATCAGGAGGAGGAGTGTCCCAGCTGAAGGTTCCATTGGAAATACAGACAGCCTGAGACTTGTCCATTGGTTTGGCTACGTAAGGCGAGATCTCATTCAGCAACAATACGCTCTGTTGGAAAAACATTTATTATTTCCGTCTGTGGATTTGTTTAGCAGTTTTTTTTTTTTCAACCAGTTGGCTTGTTGGATAGCAGCCTTTGCAAACGTGAGATATTTTTTTCAATTATTAGAAATAGGTCTTTGTACTTTTTAAATCTGTCTAAAAACTTAATAACATTATTTTAAAAGATTGAATTATTTTTATAGTTGGCTGTTCAATTCTTCATAAAATATTTATACACCTAATCCCTGTAAAAAGATAATTTTAAATCTATAGACTGTTTTGTAATTTATCTTTAGGTATATTTAGAGAACAATAACAAAATCCAGTCCGAAGGGTTTGCTTCATTGGTCTTTACAAATTGGTTGAACAATAACAAAATATATATGTATATTTTTTCCAAAATAAACTAAAAATAAAAGATTTTCTGTTCACTGTACTGTGTTTAAGTCAATATAAAAATGTTACAATTGAACTAATATGTAGAATATTTAACCTTAATGTAATCAACAAAGTTTCAAAGGCCAGGTTCACTCATTTAAACGTTTTGTACCTTTCAAATTCACAAAGATTTTATAACATTATTTCTATTTAAACTTAGCCTTCAATTTAGCATTTTTTTATCTAGAGGGAAATTTAAAAATAAAATTGCATTAAATATAATAAATGAACAAAAAATATGAATTAAATAAAACAGAAAAATTCTCTTGCTGTTTTATATTTTTATAAATGTTTAACAATGATTTTTTTTTATTGGGTGTTTACTATTTAACAGTTCTACTTCCTCAGTGTTTTTACTACAATTTGAAACAATTTAACACATAATACAATAATATTTAGTAAGTAGTATGATTCAACTATTTTATGGTCAATATTTGAGCTTTAAAAGAAGAAATACAAATCAAAAACGTAAAAAACCCCTTTAAGAATGTCATAGGAGCAACAGTTTACCATTGATGGTTCGTTTTAAATCTCAGAGTTAAAGTACGATAAGTATGCAAAAATCCTCACAATTAAAACTATTTTTTTTCTTACCCCTAAAACATTACACTTAAATTAATTTAATTTAAATGTCCACACTCAATAGTCTAATTATTTTCACACACACAAGTAACAACTTCAATTTAACACATGCAAGATAAGTTTGTAAAATTAATGTAAAAGAAGCCAAAACTGTCATATACAACTGAGCAACTGATTTATACAAACACTACTAAATTTATTAAATTACAGTAATGGCAAAAATATTATAATACAGTAGACCCTCATTAATCAGGACTAATTGAGGTTTTAAGTTACCAGAATTAATGAAAATCCGGAGTAAATTAAATCATTTTATGAGAGGAAAGACATGTAATTTCCGAACTAATTGACATTCCTACCAACTATACATTTTCAAAAAAAAAAAAGAATAAATGTTTTGATTAGTTGATGGTTATGTTACAAATTTGTCCAGTAGATTTGAGTGACAATTACCAAACTTAGCTGCATGAATATTTATAAACTGATGTAAAATGACTGACTGGATTAAGCAAAATTTGTTTATGGAGTCCGGATTGTCGAGGGTCAAGTATTGTTAAATACAAACCAAGAACATACAAAATATGCAAAAAGGTTAGTATAGTAGAGTGACAAAAGCAAAATAAGCAATGAACCAGATACCAAGACACACTTCATGCAAGCAAGTTTAAGAATATATTCAAATTATATTAGGCTATATTTATTACATTGTATTTAAGATTATAAGAAAAAAGTATTGGTTTAATATTTTTTACATGGTAAGTAGTGTATTATTATAATTTTTTTTACATTCAGTAGGCTAAAAATGTTGGCCCTAATGATCCTAATTCAAATTAATATTCAATAAATCATTATTGTAGTTTGATTAATATTGTATTTATAATTCATTGAACAGTATCTTCAAGTAAATAATTATTTTCATTCACTGGTTTTATTTGTCTTTTATCACGACATAAATTTGAAAAATTCAAAAAGTATGGTATTACAATGTCTACTAATATTTTTAGTGAAAATGTGTCTTTGAAAATAATATTACTACAGTAACATAATTTTTTTTTTTATAAATGACCCAGTGGATCTGTTTATCGTTGTTCAAACCATACAAATAAAAGACACGGCACACTATCAAACAATAAAACCATTTTAAACTTTAAGACAACACAATAATGAAATGAGCAAAATATTAGTTAACAATGATGTGAAGGAAGAAATATGGAATTTCACCTAAAAACTATATCAGTTCTGTATTATGTATTTTTATTCACTAAGCATAGTGTTCCATGTTGCATAATTTGAGGTTTTTCTATTAGAAGACTGATTTTAATTTTTAACTAAGGGTTTGTAAACAAATTTAATTTCCCACAAACATCAATTTTACGTTTTAGTTTTGTTTGATTTATATAGCCGTTGCGAATAAAATACTTTGTTTCTCTTAAGTTTCTTCTTCTTACCTACATTTTAAGGTACATTGAAGCACCATCCGTCCAGTTTGACCATACTACTCACTATATTTTCCCAAGAATCTTTGTCCCTTTTCCCCTTTTTCAACCTGCAGAAGGGAGAACGTCACTTGTTTTTGTACATTCTACTACATTACTACATTCTACTATTCTGGTAACTTTTATTTAAGTGATAATGCCGCAACGCCTAGGTCTACCCTGAAGTAATGTGAAAGACGATCCCGGGCTCGTGCCTAGCGTCCTAGGACAAAAAAAAACTATTCTGGTAACCACAAAACAAAAACTAGGTTTTGTATTTATTGTAGTATTACATTTCCTGAACTATTGTTCTGAGGAGACGGATGTTCGAAACCTATGAATATTACCTAGTCTCTAATAAAAAAACAAATAACTGAAATTAACTATTTCATTTTCTTTTTTCACTTTTATTTTGACAGCAAGGCTTGTGCTTTCATTTGTGTTTTACAATAGCTAATTTGTTAGGTTTTGTAAATAATTAAAATATAAAACAAAAAGTCTTATTTTGCTAGTTCATAGATAGCTTTAATGCCTAAATTAGTGTTCTTCAAAAGAAAATCAAAGGAAATGCTATCCTGCCAGACTACTTATTCAAAGACATAAACTCTTCAAAACCTTAGATAAAGTTTATATTATGATAGTTGTAATATATACCAAACCTTGTAAGCAATCGAGGTGTTTAGAGTAGGCTATAGAATGTGGGCCACATTACTGATAGAATACCCAGGGGGAGCGGCCTCCCCAAGTGACTCATGTTGAGAAAGAAATAAAAGCAACTGCAGATTTAATACAAGAAACCAATGGCAACGCGTTTCATACAGCAAGGTGGCCACCACACAGCCAGGCCCATTCCCTATACTCCACACATCTTTGTAAGCAATCAGTGATATTGAAGAACGATACAAGCTAAGGAAGAATGAAAATATATACATCTAACAACTAACTCACTCATGAAAAGAGTTCTAGACAGTTTATAATACACAAAACTTGAATACCACATTGAACCTTTACATTTTCTTTCGCAAAAAGGATTCTCTTTTTTAGGTTGGTTACTTTACTTGTATCTGTTCCTTCTTCCTTTACTTATGTGCTTTTCCCACCCAAACTAAAGAAGAATATTGTGTTTCTACAGAATGTGTTAGCAAATCCCGAAAAAATATATATAAGATTACACATTTCCACAATCAAATACCCAGGAAAACAACCTAACCACTAAAAACCAATCCTGTGCATCTCCGGAACTTTCACCGCCACCACCATAGCCAGTATACATTGTACAGCAGTGCCTGAACCATGTTAATGTAATGTAACCTTTATCCGTCGAAGGGTGGGTATTCCTCTGTATAAACTGCGGCAGGCTTCCGACCAACAGAGCCACATCGGGACTAACACAGAGGTTAACATAGCGAGGGACGTGAATGCCTGCAGACATGACACAACGTGACCAAACAAGTCCAGACATGACAAGAAGCCATGTTAAATATGTTAGCGGGAGAAGATCAAGTAACAGAGGTAGGCTTAGGATAGGTTTGGCTTCAAATTGTGTTAGCAAAGGGTAGATCATGATTTGGTGGGATCAGGCTAGGTTTAACTTTGTAAGATTGAGGATGGAGTAGATTATAATCTATGATAGATAAGATACATATGTATTTAACTTGATATCAGGCTAGGAAAGGAAGCTTATAATTTGGTAGGATTAGGATATGTAAACTTTAAATTGGTTTAGGAAGAAGTATGTTTTGATTTGGTGATATCAGAATAGGTGTGAAAAAGTTTGGGGTTAGAAAGAGCAGATAATGATCTGGTAGTATTAAGATATGTTTGACTAAAAATTAGGTTTATAATGAGTAAATTATGATTTGGTGACCAATCACCATCAAGACACCACAGTAAATATGAAGCATGAAATTTCAAAAAAGTTGAGTAGAATCTTTTGTACTGTAATTCTTATAATTAGTAAAGCAGTTATTAGCACACTTTGTGGATGTTGAAAGTTAGTATAAATCTACTACAATACTGTATGATCATTTACGCCATAATAAGTTTCTCCGATGATGGAGAACGTCTCAGTTAAGAGATTTACATATTTTCAATTTACCACAAAATTTGTTTTTTCACGATTGATCTTAACCATGGGCGTCCACCTAAATTTTTCATATAGGGGACCAGGGGATCTGGGTGGTACAGGATTGCCTCCCTGTAAAAAGGGGGCTCCCCCAAAACTTTGATAGTTTAGGTACAAAATGATTTAACACAAGTTATACCTAAATTTGTTTTGCCAAATTTTTTACAGTTTTATTGCAAAATCTGAAAAAAATGTGGTCAACAAGCCCGGCCCTTAGGAGGCCCCGGCTCATGGAAGCCCAAGCTTAAAACATTTTCTCTATTGACGGTTTCTTTTAATCTTGCATCTTCTTGACTTAGTCCTATAGTAAATAAACAAATGATTATAGCTTGTTGTGGACAGAAAAAATATCCGTCAAACACAACCCACTTTGCCTTAGAGACCTTGCCTTGTTTTCTAGATATTGGTCAAACAGTGTATGTTGTCTCCGAACTGCCAGATGATGGCACAACTTTGCGACCAATAACCATTGGGTATTAGCAGGGTTTAAAATCAGTTGTATAGTTGATACAATTGTTAACACTAAAAATAACATAAAATACAAGGCATAAAATGTCTGATCGGAGATACAACTCATAAAGAATTCACTTATTCCATCAAGTTAATCCCACCCAAGATGTCCACCGCTCACTTTGAGTGGTGTTCTCCCAACAAGTTCTACTTCAAGAGTAACACACCAGGCGAGAAGGGATTTAAATTTACAAATACTGGTGCTGTCTCCAGACTCGAGAAACACCTTGACGTTTTGGACCTATTTTTTTACACTATCACAATAGCAATACTGTTAAACCCAGCGCCCTATCCTAACAGTTTTAGGTTACAACACATAACACATACAGTGTTTAGCCGTTTTTAGTTGAGCTCAAATACTTGGGAGTGAAAGTATTGTTATGTTACGCATGAAATGATTTTATAGTCTATCTGTTTAAGCTCTAAGGGTCTGACTTAGGGGAGGTATGATAGAGGCATTAGTTCAAAATTCCTCCGTGAACAGCGCTGTAGTAGAGAGCATTTTGGCAATGAAGGTTTACTAATCGCAAAATAGTTCTGTTCATAAAATAAAATTGTAAATGCCTCAAATTTAATTTTATAATTTTTTTATTATAAAATTAAACTATCATAACCTAACCGAACTAACCAAACTTGCTGATAATGAAATAATATCAAAAAGTTTACTAATAGAAAAAATAATTCTGTTCATTAAATAAAACTAGAAATTGCTCAATTAAAATTTTATAACGAATTAATAATAAAATTAAACTGTCATAACCGAACCAAACCAACCAAACTTGTTGATAATGAAAAAATCTTAGACAAAAAGTTAATGAAATCAGCAGGTTTCGAACCCGGGACTTTCAGTATATCTGCCCGTCACGCTAACCACTACACCACCGGAGCCGATGATTTCAATCCGCATTGTTACGGTAATGGTGTTCCCTCAGCTAATAAGAAGCCCACAGGTGTCATCGTAGCCTCTTCTATACCTCCCCTGAGTAAATACCGTCTGAGTTTGGGGGTGCTTTGAATTTTGCTCCTCTGGTTATCTGGCCTTTTTCTTGTCCAGACTATAAAAAGGTCCTGCACTAAAGGGATTTGAAAGGTTCTTTATGATTATAATTTCTATAACTTTATTTAACTCAAGTTTTATTTTTATTTTTTAATCTTTGAATCATTAGCTGTAATTATAGATTTATTTTTATAAATCCACAACATCTTTATACTATTGTTTAGTACTTATAACATAACAAATGTAAAGCTTAATGTGCGAGGTTATGTGCGAACTCAATGATTTTATCTTGTTGTTGCATCTATGTGAGGTAAGGTGGCACATTAGAAAAGTAGGCCTAAACGCAAACCAAACAAAGGCCACAAACATCAACTATGTATTAAAGCTGAGTACTGTAGACAATGTTCGAGTAAGAAACTCATGCATAAACATTAGTATACCATACAATCAATCATAACATTGATTTGTCTTCAGATCAAATGCAAAAGAATATTTACGGGCTTAGTTTTATAATGTTTTCAATTTTTACTGATGGATCAAAGTATTAAAAATTATAAAAATGTTATGTAATTGAATAATTGAAATACTGTGTATAAGAAGAAGAAAGTTAAAAATGCTTTAGGTCAAGAATAGTAGAGGATGACAAAGTTCTAGCAAAAAGTACAACCTACTAACAGCTTACAGTCTTATTTTCTTTGAATACTGTACTTTCTTTTGAGGTATTATACTTTCTAATGAAGGACCACAAACTAACCAGAAAAGATGAATAGACAGTAAATTGTTAATAAGTTAAATATATTAACTAAATTATGTAGAATATACTAACATTATCTAAGAACAGTTTTGATGTGACCTTGCTGAGGTTCAATGGAATACATTAGCTGTTGCAATTTACCATTTGTATGCAGCCCACAATTTTTATCTATAAGCTTCTCAAAATATGCATGGGCAGGAGGTAAATATTCTGTGTTACATTAGAACATAAGACACTTAGTCCAGAAATGAACTCATATGATGAAGGTTGGAGCTGGTTCCCTGGGACCCGTAAGGGTTTTAGTTGGTATGAGCCACACACTGTTCCCATCTCGGTTTGTGCTTATACATTTCCCTACATACCAAAAAAAATAAAAATTTATCGGCAATCCTCGGTTACAACAAGCATGACCTGATATTTGTTTATTGATCCAAAATGTTTCTACAAAAGTTTCCTAATTTCTACTCCCTAACTAAAGTTACCTATTAAAACTTTCTCTCACAGGTTTGAACTATTTTCTAGATTTTGGTCAGCTGAACATATAACACCTTCGATGGATTCTTTTGATGGATCCTTTGAGGATCCTTTAACAAAGAACTATCTAAATTGTGAGCATATCAATAGGAGATGTAAGGCAAAATATACCAAACAATGAAAGGAACAGAACCAATCCTGGAAATGATAGCCCAATGCTTAGCAGACAAAACACTCAAAGGCGCAGGCAAGGGCTTTATACGCAACCTGGAAACGCTCCACGGTTATTCCTCCCTCGATGAGTTTCTTCCACCCCTCTCGCGTATTGGTGAGAACGTTACGCAGTTGTTTCAAGCAGATGCTGATTACTGAAAATGCCTGCAACCGTAACACTGAAAGAAAACCACTAAATTTACACAAGTAGAGGATGATGACGATCGTAGACTGGCTGTCTCTTATGGTTTTTTACTGAAAGTAAACACATCACCTAAACTGGATTGTGGAATTGCAAGAGTTTTTGTGAAAGAATGATATCCTGGGTTAATTGTGTAACATCATTGACTATTGGATACTGAAGTACATATCCCATCTATTTGGACCAGCTGTCCCCAATTTTATCTTTTAAAAAATATATAGCCAGTCACAGAATGTGCTAGATTCTTAAATTCTATTTTCTACCTTATTTTTGTTGCTGAGATAGTTGATGGGTTATAACAGTTTCTATAGCTTGCAATAAGTTGTTCTATCAGTTTGACTTGGTTAAAAAGTTCACTTATTCAACAGAAAACTGTACTGTACTTTATATCAGCACAATCTCTCAGCGGCTAAATTCAACTATGTCTATTTTGCTTTTAAAATTGGCAACAGCTGGTTCATATAGATGAGATGACTGCATCAGTATCCAAAAATAAATGCTAAGGAAAAGCACTACATGAGGTTCTTTAAAAACAGTCTTCTAATTAAACCTTATAACAGTTGTAATTTTGTGAAACGTCAATTTAAATTCCAGCCTTAAAACTCATTCAAAAAATGATTTCCTTATTTTTTTAAGTTACGTTTCTGAATTTCACGCCTGAAGTAAGAGTAAAGATAATATGAAGTATTAGTTTGCTTTAAGAGGATGTTTGGGCGAGAACAATGAAAGCCAACGATCCCACAGACAAAGCAAGCAAGGGAAGTGCTTAACACACAACAACCTGGAACCTCTTGATTCCTATGGAGCCTGCAAAAAGATGCTTCCAGCTCTCCGATGTGAAAACCATCGTCGTGGAAAGTTGGCGTTTGCAGAAACAGACCATCGAAAAGGCCTGTGAAATATGTAAAAGTTATTGGTTGGATCAATGTTTTATCAATGGGTAAATCCTGTTGTTGATACACTTTCTACAAAAAGTTTTTTCTTTTTTTCAGGTATTTTTTGGCAATTTTGACATACTGAGAGGGTTTTTAGTGGAAGGGTATCCTATCATTAAATTTCCTCAAAATTGATAGTAAAATGATTATTAACGCACTTTTGTAAAAATGTACAAGCTAGTTTTTTACTCACGCAACAGACTGTAAATTAAGCATATCATGCCAGTTACAAACCAAATACAAATAAAACTGTAGCAAAGTGGGCATTGAAAATTAATTAAAATGAAATAAAAACTTTAACACACAACAGAGTATAGTACATTGGTACTGTTAGTAACAAAACAAAATCTATTTCTCTAACGCGGAATCATCAGTTAATCTTGGTCATGTAGTGCCGACTTACCAGTTAATGCTTATTAAGGGTGTGAAAACCCTTTCACTTGTTGACTCATTGTCTGAGTTCCACCCAAAAGTCACATAACTGATACAGGACTTCTCTGTATTTGATTTCCAGTAGACAGGATATACAGGAGTAAATGTTCGGATCAGGGTTTACCGAACATTGCTATCACTTGTGAATTAACTAACATAAAGATAATTACGTCAGCAACAATCGGACATAGTTTGTAACCCTCTGGCCTGGTGCAATTAGTTAACCTTTCCACCAGTGGTAACTGGACTGTCAACACTGTGCCTCTACTGAATGATAACTAAGAGCAGTCTAAATGTTATCCCCACCTGTGAAGGGGTGATATTGTAGCCCATCCCGATGTGAGAGAGGAACATAACTATGGCAGTGACTATCGGCACAGTGGAGGCCACCGAGATGGTCAAGCTTTGGAAATACATCGCATATTGAAGGAACTTCAACTCTCGCTGTCGTAGGTCTGTTGGAAAAAAATACATTAGAAATTCACTTAAGATGCATTATTGGTATTTAGATAATAGTTTTAGATTGTAAAAAATTTTAATTATTGCAACCATTTGTTGTTATTAGTTATAACTCAAGTCCACTGTTTGTGTAGTGATTTGATCATTTATACTTTCAAATATTTTTTTATTGTTTTAAATTAAATTTTGATTATTCTACTAAGCATTTGTTGTTTTCAGCTACAGTGTTACTCACTTTGTAAAAACATCTTGTATGTTTGGATTCTTTCCTACATGAAGACTGTGTCAGATTCACGATCTCAACACTTTACAGTAAAGGAAATGGCTTGCAATAATTGTTTAAACAACTTAACTCAACTACACCAAGAGAGAACTTAACATTTATGTTGAAGACCCTAAAGGATATAAAAACAATTATCAAAGTTTGCAAACAGAGTCTAAGAATAATTTTACAAGTGTTATTGAGCCTGAAAGTGAAAGTCTAATTACGTAAGAAATCTGTTATGGAAAATTTTTCATTAACAATCTGACATCAATATATTTTTATCTGATGGATTAGAAGTATATTATACTTTTACTTTTGGTATCATACATCTATAGTGAGGAAACACACTATACACAGGGGGCTGAGAGAGGATTTTATATTTCTATTTAGACGTAAAATCCTACATGGTAAATATGAGTCCTGTTTAATCAATATTTAACCTCCACGCCTTTGTAATTTGACTGTCATGCAGTGATAACCAACCACTTAAGAGATTATAGGTAGTTGGTACTAACCAAAGAGTGATTTGGCAAAACTCTTCTCCCAAGCGTACATTTTGATCAGCTTGATACAGCAGAGAATCTCAGATGTGAGGCCGATCCTCTTGTCAGACATTGCCACAACTTTAGCTTGGAAATGGCCGACTAATCTGGACAGTCCGTACTGAAACACAACAATGATCATGTTGCTGAGTAATGGATGCTGAAACACATTACTACTAACATGATAATTTGTAAAATACAAAATGAATTAATTATATTGCTACCAAACAAACGAGTGTAGATAAATACTAAGGATGGGAGCGTCCTAAAATTTCAGAAAACATCTATTCCCGATCATTTTTTTTTTTTTTTTTTTTTTTTAATAGAGGGCCAGGCTTTAAGTAACCATGGGATTGCATCGCAGCTAGAACAGCTTTTTGTGCACCCTCATTCACAGGTCCTCATTCTTTGTCAAATCCCAGGTCCTTTGAGAACCGTGAGATCCTTTTGACTATGGTGACCCGTTCTTCCCTTTGATCTCCAGTCGATAGGCCAAGGGATCTCATGCGCAGACCTTGTAGGGCTGGGCACATAAATATCACGTGGAATGCTGTCTCCTCCTCCTCTCCACATTTCCTACATAAGAGGCTTTCAACTTGAATTCCCATCCTGTGTAAATGTCCACGGAATACCCAATGGCCGCTAATAAAGCCAACCACCTTCCGCAGGGTCTTCCTACTCAGCCCAAGGGCTTCTGCCGCTATCGCACCTGTAGGTGCCTTCAGCATTCTCTTTGACTGAACATTTCCTTCTGTACATATTCCCGATCATCAGGACGGGATTACTCGTACATTTAGTTAAGGGTTTTCTTGGAATGGAAGTGGTTCCCACATTGTGTCCACCAGGCCAACCAGTAAAAATTCATGAGTAATTCCAGGTAGTTTAGGTTGTACTTTTCATAGTGTTTACGCGCCAACACAGTTCGCTATTTTAGTTGTCTGAAAAAAAGCTTACTCAGTTTAAGGAACAAAATTTGTGATAATGAAATACTTCCTGATACTATTATACAATTTGTGTTTATGCCAAAATTTTATCGATTCTCCAAACTGATAACTGAGAAATTAATCCTCGATACCGATACCGTTTTTTAATTTTACAAAATTTTCTGAATAGATTACTACACCAACCCCTGTCTTTATGTACTTCCATGAAGTATATAACTTTGGAGTTATGGGTGGTTTTTCAAGTAGCCAAAAGAAAAAAATAATGCAGCAATGAAAAATTGTAACTAGCCAATTTAAGTTTCAAACCCATCCAAACACATTTAATAAATATCATATTAAAGGTAAAAATATTGATATTACAAAAAAATATCATCATAAAACATTATAAATTAAAGATGTACCATCCAGAAATTTTCGATCAAGCCAAACTCAAGGTAATATTGTAACATTTGTAACTTGACGTTTTTCTCACAAGGAATATATGTACGCTATTCTGTATTCTGTAGTTATAGCGATAAAGAAGTCATCAACTCTCACCAGCGGATCGCTCAAGTCGGCCTGCTGGGAAGTTTTCACGGTTCGTAAATAATTAATTAACTAACCTATCTTAGGTTCAGGTTTGTATGCACAAAAATGTAGTGTGAATCAGGTGTGAACTCAGTACCTTACACACACACACTGTGAATACTGCACTGTATGATCTTGTGAACACAGCAACTAACCTGGATGGGGTAGAAGAGTAAGAAGACCAACATGCCAGCAAGCGCCCAGGGGCTGAGCAGCCACAGGATGTACAGAACACCAAAGCCCATGGACACAGGACCACTGATCACCATGGGACCAAAGATTACCATCTGGTATATCCTCTGGCTGTCACTGGCAAACATGTTCACCAGCTGCAACCAAGTTTACATTCATAAATATATATATAAGGCAAAGCCCTCACTGACTGACTGACTGACTGACTCACTCACTCATCACTAATTCTCCCACTTCCCACTTACCTAGGAGGCTGAAATTTGGTACACCGATTCTTTAGGCATTAAATAGGAAAACTACGTGGTTTTTATTCTGATCGGACTCTCGGGCTCCGCCCCAGTGGCTCTGGAGTTTCCCATGTTAACCTAATGAGTACTCATATTTAAATGGAATAAATTAATCTTAACAGCTGTTTCAACTAAACAAGTTGATTCTGTTCTATGATGTTCAATAGCATTAAAGTTACAAGGATTACCAACAGAGTGCAGCACTATTATTTTTTTTTAATTTTTGACAACAGCTAATTTTAAACCAAAAGGTGAGTGAGCAAAGCGAACGAACTTCAACCCGGAGGCGAGTTAGCGTAGCGAACGAGCTAACCTGAAGGCAAGTGAGCGCAGCGAACGAGCTCCAACTTAAATGTGAGTGAGCGTAGCGAACGAACTTCAACCAGGACGTGTGAGCGCACCGAACGTGCTCCAACCTAAAGGTGAGTGAGCGTAGCAAACGAACATCAACCAGGACGTGATTGAGCCATGCGAACAAACTCACATATGAAGTTAAACGGGGCAAAGCCCGCGGGTACAGCTAGTATGAGATATTCAAACAATACAATTTTCCCTAATACAACTACTTTTGTGATACAGTAAAAGGTGCTCAATTCAAACTTTTGATAGAAATTTTTTGGTTACCAGAATACCATAGTGTTGAAATATGGGTGATTGATTATAATTTAGGTTTGAATTATTAAAACTTTTTGATCATTTATAAAAGCCAACTGGAGTTTAACAGGGTAAATTCATCAAAAGACTGACAATATTTCATGTAGGAAGATTATACATTGTTTTCAGTTATAAAATGAAACCAGGTGTCATTAACAAAGGTTAATTAACCTACACATCTTTGATTCTTGCTGACAAAGCGGTAGTTATATATTAAACCCTTAAATTTGATTACATTTGTTTTGATTACAAAGGTGCAATGGAAGGGATGATTTTTTTTTTATTTTACAAAGCCTTTATTACGGAATTTATCTAATTCAAATTTGTTATGATTGGATTTTTATGGTTCTGTGAATTATCCAAGTTTCACTATAAAACCTTTTAGAATCATTAATCAGTCAATAATTTGATCAGGAAAATATTAAAGCTTTCATATACTGATCAAATTGCAGTATTTTAAATATACCAAACTGATTAAGATGTTATTACATTTATAACAACTAACAACAACTGTTAAAGTTAGTTAACTTTATGTTAATTTTCGTACAAAAATAAACTCTATCCTTGTAACACATCATCGAACGATTAAAACATATCCCCAACAATTTGAACATTATGTAAAATGGTTTGACAAGTTCTAATTACATCGCATTTAGTTGTTTTTCACCTTTTTTTGCCAAAGTAACTGAGCAAAATAAATTCAATACAGTAGTTACATCATAATACCTCTCCAATGGTCTTGTCGCCCAGTGTGTGAACTCTGATGATTTTCCGGTACAACATTGTTAGACAGGCCGCCCTCAGTCTAATAGCTGTTCTGTAATACACAACACGATCAATTCAAGACCTCCTCATACAGCAGGCAAATGATATTTTATATCCATTTTTGTTTATTATACTCGTAGAGATTCATCTACAAATACAACTGTATGGATTAAGTAAGTCTATTCATAGCCATACAGTTTGTTTAAATATAGAATCACTCGGCCACACTGATAAACATGAGTGTAACTCTTCTTGGAAAACTACTGTTACTGGCTGTTGGATGATTTTTTTTTTACAAAACTAGGGATGTGCCCATTTTTGATACCGATTTGCAATACAAAATCTTGGACATTAACAAAAGTCAATTCCGATAGTGATACCCGACTCATCTGCAAAGATTGCTGTATCGATAGATTTATGTTTTTGTCTCGATATTGATAACGACAATGAAATTTCCATCATGAATTTGCTGCAGTTGGGGGAGACCATGATGATGTCTACACGAGGACATTGAGATGTTCAGAATTTTCCCGTGATCGTGGAAGATGATGTAATGATGACCGTGACCGCGGGTGATATTTAGAGGTTTGCTGAGGTGCTGGAACACGATGATAATTTTTCTGTGACAGATACAACTAAATCAAGGCAATATTAAGAATTTTGTCCCTACCACAGGAGACAATTGTGATGTTTCTGTTACAATAGACCATATTTGGGATTTTCCACAAACTAGCAGATAAAAAGTGATTTTTTTTTAAATTTATTATAAAAAAATTATTTTGATTTTAAAATAGTATGCGTTTAAACTAAACAAGTTTGTCATGTAAAAAGTTCCAATAGTCCCTATTTATGAACCTATTTATATGTGGGATTTTATATAAATTCCATGTAAATTTTGGTTACTACATCCAATATAAACCTTTGACTCTTTCAGACCTAGTTATGTAAGCAAATAACATAAAACTCTACCTAATCTACTTACCTGGATGAAACAGCCCAGGCTCCTGCGTAGAACACTATTCTGAAGAGTTCAGTAACTCCTAAGAGGAAAGCCCATTTGAACCCCTCCAACATAGGAGCATCAGGGTTCTCGGCAAACTCCAAGAGCCACCGCATTACAAAAGCCTGGAAACAGTAATTTTATTATCAGAAGTGCTTGGTACTATTTAAGGGAAGGGGAAGTTTACTTACAGTCATCGAAATACTGATTTCTCTAGAAAACGTTTTGGAATGCCAAGAGTTAATCGTATATTGCTTAGTTTTTTTGGTGCTTCCAATTGTTGACGCCTAAATGATAAAATTAAATGCTTAAAAACTTTCCCTGAAAATTTGATACAATTCTGTGTCTTATAATGTATTTGATTATTGTGAGTTATGTGAACCCCTAGGAAACAGTGCGTTTTCTGTGAATTCTGTGACAGTCTAGCAAAACCAATGACTTCCATTACTGCAGTTGTGGAATATAGATATAATATATATATTCTATTTTTCCCTTTATCTCTGTTATTATAAATAAAACTTGTGTTGACAATATAATATAGAATTTTGTATAATCGAATCTCGAGTACCTTTCTTTGTGCTCATTGCCAAGCGAGCTCACCCCCCCACAATATACTATATAATAATAAACATCATTTAAAAGAAGTAACACATAAAAACTAACCGTTACACTAGCAAAATCAGAGAGTTTTCAGTGACTTTGCTGTCTGTCTAGCAAAATAAGGCACTTCTGTATCTGTCTAAAAAAAATCAGTGTATTTTTAATTATTTCCTTTACTGTCTAACAAAATCAGTGACTTCTGGGTCTGCCTGGTAAAATTGGTGTTTTTCAGTGACTTCTGTGTCCGTCTAGTAAAATCAGTGACTTTTTGTCACTTCTGTTACTGTCTAGCAAAATCAGTACCTAACTTATTTGTTTCTGCCTGGAAAAATCAGTTACTTTTCAGTAACTATTGTGACTCCCGAGACCTCGCTGACCGGAATCTTACATCTACCAATCAAGAGTTATTTACCACACTGATGAAGCTGGTGGTGATGTTGAGTGAGATGATGAACATGGACAGGAAGACTCTGGTGCGGATAAACCTCCAGATGACCCACTTGAGGGAGGCAGCCTTGGGACCCTTGACTGACATCTCATCCTGCCACATCACCTCCAGCCTGAGACAAAAACAAATTTACAACAAATTACCCTACAGATTAAAAACATTGCCTCATTCTCTAAATTTAAATTATCTTTAAAAGGTTTTCTATTGGAGAGGGCATTTTACTCACTAGAAGAATATCTGGAAGATGTATATATTGGAAAATATTACTTCTCCCATAAGTTTGTATTGATTGCTTTATTTCTTTTGTAAGATATTTTATTATTTAGAATTATCATGTAGTATTAGACTTTTTGACAAATCACCTGTCAAGAAAATTGGTGCAATGTGATGAAGTTAAATAAATAAAGACTACAGTAAATACAAATACAAATACTTCTGTTGCCAACCTGCGGACCAACACAATAGTATTTACCCAAAACACCACTTTATGGGTAGTCTTTTACAACTTCATAAAATAATCTGTATAAAAAATTTATATCACTACACTCTGTCTTGCAGAGAGGTACTTGATAGTCTTGAGAAACACATAGGCATATTAAAGTTGTGAAAACCCTATAGAGCCATGCCGCCATGCCCCACGGGGATTCAAATTTCCATGTTATTCTTATGAGTATTCATATATAAAAATAATTAAATCATTTTACCAGCTGTTATAACTAAACAAGTTGGTTCTATGATACTTTATAGCATTAAAACGATACAAGATTTACCAACAGGGTGCAGCACTATTAGTTTTTTTTTTCATTTATGACAGCAGCTAATTTAAACTAAGCACCAACAAAAAGCTGTGATACACAATGAGAACTGTCAAAGTAGGATTGTTTACAGTTATGTTTATGTTTTTAATTTGATAAATAATTTGAGATGTACACATGTTTTATGGTCGCCATTTAATTGAAAAGTATTAAAGATATTTTTTTCTTTTCTATTGTTTAGGTGCAGTGGTAGGTGGTGGTGGTATGGCTATGGTAGATGTGTTATACTAAAGCACACCGCAAATTTTAAGAACCAAATTTTCTGAAAAAAAAGATCAAGATGGTGGGAAGTACAAAGTTGACTAAATGTGGTACTTGTAATAAAAATGTTACCAAAAATAGTAGAGCACTCTCTTGTGGTGTTAAATGTTGTTTATGGTTTCACAGTGACTGTATCGGTGTAAATGATGAAGAATATAACTGTTTTCTAACTCTGGGAGATGTTTGCCTTTTACTAGTTTTGAAAAAGCCATTCACCTTTTGCTAGTCAACAATCCTTCCAACTGTATTAAGGAGTATTATGAAAGTTGTTTGAATCTGTGATACTGTTAATTGTTTTTGTAGGTAGCTGTGTTATTGTAATTCATATTTTAAAATCTGTGATATTTAATTTTATTATTTTAATAATTGTACTTGACGAGGTTGTATGCACTGTAATAGTTGTGTTCTTAGACAAAAAAAATCCCTTGACTCTTGACTCAAACCGTGTCCTCCCCCATTGCAAACGCAGAGCATGAGTATACCTGCAATAAGCATTTTATACTTAAACGCCGACCCTGTACGAAGGACGGGTATTGTGCTAGTATTAAATACCAACAAGCACAGACACAAATGTAAGATACAACATAAACATTATTTCATTCAGTGAAAATTGTTTAAACCCTTAGAAAACGTTTATGATTCAAACCCCTTGTACAAAAAATACTCTGATAGTTTCCTATACAACTCAAACCATCTCAAGATTCAGCAGTATTTTTTTATAGCCAGGGGTCTTTTTCATATTACTTCAATCTAAGCCTAGAGGTTGCAGCATCAGGAAGAATCCAATGGTTATTGGTAGGATTTGAACCCATTATCTTGTGGACCAAAGTCCAGCACTTCATCACTAGACCAGCTGACTCCTTTAGCAGTAATAATAACTGTTATATGCCCTATCACATTGCTTTTAGTAAGAGGTGTTCACCAAATTCTTGTATATTCCAGTAATTCCTCCATTTGTTTTCTAAATAGGTAGACCAATGGCTCATAACTAGTGGGTGACGACATTTTCACGTATAAAAGCAATGGGTGATTGGCAGGATATGAACCTGTGAACCACAGCCACCTATAGGTGAACAGTCAGATTCTGAAGTGATATGTTTACACTGTCTAGCATATTGACCCAGTAAGCCACAGAAAGTGTACCATCGCGTCATGGTAGGTGAGTATTCACAGGAAGTTGAGGTGTGGTCTGCAAAGGGAACTGCCTGTGAAACTATTTCCTATATGGGTTTCCTACTTGTTCATCCTCCCCTTTGCGGTGTTGCTGAATTTAAATTGTCAGTTGTGTTCAAAGTTGGCAATTTCAAAGTTTTGAATTGATTTGAACACTGCAAAACATTTGTTGTCATCATTTCATTTTATTATTGATATTTTTTCTATTCTTTTGAAAATACTAACACAAAAATAAAGAAATTTCCATTGCAATAGGTATTCATAACATATATTTTACAGAAAAATTTGAATCAATTACATTTAATTCTTATAGCAGTTATGAACAAATTAATAATAAATAAAGTATTAAAACCCCAAAGCAATAAACAACACACGAGTGTAAGTGTTGTGTGTCTGTGGGAATTGTCCGCAGTTATTCAACACATGTTAAAAAGCTGGCATTCAGATCAACAAACTCAAACTTCCAACAAACTAGACTTAAACTCACTCAGTATTGATAAACAGATCATAACGTAATGTCTAAAAGCGAAATGTTGAAATGGTTCAATGTTGACAAACTTTGGTTCAACATCTATTTTTACGAGTTTTTAAACCAATTTTGACAAATCTGAATTTCATTACTTGGAAGTTTTGTACTTCAAATCGGATTATAAAAATCATTCCTAAGTTTAAGTTTAAAATGAGTTAAGCTCAAGAATCATTATGCTTTTTTGAATTAAATAAATTGAAAAATTCTTTATTGTTATTTTAAAAATACAATAGGTACAATGAAATATATCTTTTTACACTAAGGTTGTACATAAGTATTACCGTATTACATAAGTCATTGTATTTTATTCCAATATAAACAAAGATACATATACTACTCACAAAACAAATCTAACTTAATTATTATTAGCGAACAATAAAGCCCTGAGGTTACAGAACCTGTGCGGGAAATAAACATTTATAGTAATTGGCGCAACTCTAGTTTGGGAAGTCCAGCCCATCACCATTACTACTATAGTTTTGTTACAAAATGAAATACAACAAATTTTAGTTATGATGGTAAAAATTAAGGATGGGCAGTTTAAATTCTCAACTCTTCAAAATATTCGATACCAATAGTATCAAGGAATTGTTGATTCTCTTTACTTTGTGCAAAGCCGGATTTCCCAATATGCTTGAAAGGCCCGACCCTATGGGCGCAACACGATCGATAATCAAAATTACCATATTACTTGGAATAAAAAAATATCCTGTCTCAGAGAGAAATATTTTCTTAGTTTTCGTTTTCCATGACTCCATGTTCACAATTAAAAACATTTGTATCTATTTGTTGGATTGCGATGGAGAGAACAAGTACAGAGGGATCAACAGTGAATGGGTGCCTTCCTGGACTCAGCAGTGGAGACAACTTGTTGACAAGGACAAAATCATATTAGGTGTGAGTGGCCAAGGACGTAAGGTAAGGTAAGGTAAGGTATCTATTTGTTTACACTGACCTCTGAGCGTTGTAGTCGCATGAGTCCGACGGAGGTACATCAGGAATGTCGTCTGCTGTGATTCCTCTCTTGTAGGCACTCATCATGTACTTGGACAGCCAACTGAAGGATATGAAGGAGAAAAGTCCTGCTTCATCAACGCCCAGAGTTTCTCGTTTTCTGACAATCAAGTTTCAAGTTGTTAAAAATTGTAATTAATAACAACCAATTGAAAATGGAGAGAGTTGAAAATGTAAGACAACACTTTAATATCTAATGATCTAGTTGGCTTATGCACTACTGTCGGAAAATTATGGATAGTAAAATATCTTATACCAGCAAACGTCAGTCTCTCATAAATCCAAACTCCAGAAAATACAAACCGATGAAATGGAATATTAAATTTGTAAATGGATTGAGTTTTTTTAATGAGAGGTACCTCTAGGCTACAGATTTCATTACTAGCCTAAGTACAAGCTAAAACGAATAACACTTTGAAGTTTAACCTAATTTGTCAAAGAATAGTTTTTGCCAACAAACACTGAAAGAATCTAAAAAAGAAATAGGCAACGATGTATAGGTTGCCCTAGATAAGCTGCAATTTCAAATGTCAGATGTCAACAGCTAAAGCTAATTGCTGCATTGATAAGATAGAGGTTAGAGACTATTGACTTGGTTAGATGTTGGCCTAAATTAGAAACATTTCTCAAAAAAACTTATCATGTAAGAACAGAATAAGGAATAAATAGTAGGCCTACATAAGAATATACATCAAAGAGTGCATGCTATCCATTGTTTTTTTCTTTTAATTATGCATTGTAAATAAAGAAGAAATTATAGAAATAGCATATTTATTTATCATAAATGATTACTCTAGTAAATCAATTTACCAAATTTGATCAAAACATATCCATAAACTAGCAAATTACAACAGTTTATTTTTTTGCCATAAGAAGAATGTGGGAATTTTTGTACATTTTTTGAATTCTTTATAATCTTTAATCCTACAATAACGCCTCAATATAACTTTTTGATTTTAAGGACTACATCATGGTTTTTATGTTTTAAAGGTAAAGTGTATCCATCACCCCAGCGAACACAGAAAAACAATAGAAGAGCCAATCGAGCCGAAAGCTGTCGCCACCTGTATAACCTTAGTTTGGACAAATAAAGACTGAAAAATCAAATTTTTACTTGCTCTACCTGCAGTTTTCTCCATTTATACAATGTAAAAAAGTTGTTTTATCAATTTAAACATTGTTCAAATAGAGAATACTGTTGGTATAGCAAGAAAAAAAGTTAATTCTTCAGTTATTATCTGTCCAAACTAAGGTTGTAAGATGTCATTGAAATCTGGGTAAAATTTGCTAACATTTATATGTTTTGCAATTCTTTTGTAAAATTTAACGGTTTTGTGGAATTTGGTATCAAATATTTAAAATATTCAAATATTTAAAATTTTAACGAATAGTGTTTTTGACCTCTTGGGACATCAAAATGAAAAAGTATTTAATCTGTTCCAGGTCTAGACCAGAACGGTATAACCAGTATAACTAGTTGCTGTGCCATCTAAGGTAATACAGTAGCTTCTTCTTGATAAGGAAATGCGCTAAAAACAGTACTCAACGTTTGAAATTCAGTAACTAATCACATAGTATGATCATTTGTTGTGAATATCCTAATACAGTAGAATCCCGCAAACTCGGCGTAATGTGGACTGGAAGGATGCTGAGTTTGTGAAATGCCAGGTTATCAGGAACTAGGCTTAAAAATAAGGACAATATATTTTTTAAGCTCTTTAACCTCCTTTTTTTATATTACAAGTCAGTATTAAGTCATCAGATAACAAAAATATCCTTAACAAAATATCCTTGGTACAAGTTGTGAATGAGCTGGCTTGAGTCCATGTTTAACTCGGATTCAAAATATTACTAAATTTCTGAGCCAGGTGATGGCCGAGTTATCCAGACTGCCGGGTTATCGAGTGCCGAGTTTGTGGGACTCTACTGTAGTAAGTTGCAGTATTGTACAATGTACAGTAATCCGACACTTGATAGTAAAACACACTCTGTGACCCGATGGTCGATGCTGCGATCATTGAGTCTGTCCTGTCTATGCAATAATGGACTTTGAATCATGTTGTGACACAAGTATCACATCATTCTAGTTTTGAGTTCTTCATTCTTTAAAAAGATTGGGGCATTGATTTAATGTGCATTACTGAATTTAACTCAGTAATTTCTTTGTTGACTTGAGTGTAATGACGTTTTTAACATTTGAACTAATATAATTATGGATTATTTTGTTTACTTGAATTAGTTTGCAAACAGCTGATATCTCAACATTTTACTTTGCCCACTACTATACTCACAAATTTTCCTCATCCCGGAAGACAACTGAACAAAAAACGTAAGCTATGTTCATTTTAACTTAATTATAATCCACAGGAAATAATATGTGTGTAGATTAAATTAATTCCTGCCTAGTTGAAAAATGAAGTTATTATTAATTTATGAAGATGATTAATAGCATGTAGCCCAAACAAAGAGTACTTTTTTCCTTGCAGAGTTTGAAGTTGTCAATGACATTTTTTATGTCACCTCAATATTGCAACTTAGCCACAAAATATAACCTTAATGTTGTGGAACATTTTGTTGAGCACTTAAGGTAATAAATTTGTAGTTGTCACATAACAAAAATGAAGACAAATTATGATGAGCAATCTGATCAAAGTGAACTTTTTTCAATAAAATTGACCCAAGTGACACTTTGGTCACTAGTTGCACAGTTCACTATTTTTAGCAGGTACTCTCCTAGATCACTCACTTTTTCCTTGCTCTCACTGGTATGAGATGTCTGAGCGCTGAGCTGTATCGGACCACTCCTCGCCCAGGTAGATACTGAGGAGCTGTCTTGCGATACTCTCCTGGGTACCTGTATGTCCCCTCCCCCTCATTGTCTCCTCCCCTGAAAATATTCAACACATATAAAACACTTGATTATCTAGGTAGCCAAATGGTTAAGTAGTGCTCGCCATCAAATCTGAAGATTGCTAGTATGATCCCAAGAAGGGCCAGTCCCGGACCAATATGTCTTTGAATAATTAAATATTGATGCCATGAAAAAAAAGATTGATAATTAGGTAGTACAAAAGACCAGAATTTCGACATGTACTTCATAAAAGACAAACAAATTGAATAGTGTGAAAAACAACCATCATAACCTTAAACAACAAGCAAGATTGTAGAGGGTTATTTTTCAAGCAAAGTCACGACGAAACAAAATAAATCTGGATACAAGTTAAGTTTGCAGGTCCTTTTTCTTTAACTCTCAACAGGTTTTTAATTGATATTCTCCGCGACCACAAGAGACATTTGTGACTTCACCGCGGTTGCGGAAGACAAAAGTGATCACTCTGCATATGCGAAAGATGTTAACATCCGCGTTATCGAAGGAGATGATAATGATGTCTCTGCGATCCCGACAGATATTTACTATTAAGTCACGACTGCGGGAGACGAAGATCGTAGAAAACGTTCATGATTTCGTTGTGACCGCGAAGACGTAAAGGATGCCTACGTGATCGCGAAAGATGTTCACTATTTTTCCAAGTACTTAAGAGACATTCACGATCGCAGAAGATGTCCACGATTTCACTGCGACCTTAGGGGATACTCACGATTTCCATGTGACCCATAAAAATTTAGTTTATTTCCAATTTAGTTTTGTGTTCACAATTTCGCTGCGTTCAACCAATTACAGTGTAACAATAATAATTTTTTTTAATAAACAATTTCTAATGCAACTCAATTACCCCGCCTACTTAGGCTACTTCTAACTCAAACATGGTGTGTAGGATTAAGTTTGAGCATGAACCTAATCACACCAACTATACTTCGGCCGCTTAGAAAGCGACCTCCTCTAGCATTGGTTTAGCATTAGCACGCAGGTCGTTTTCTATGCGGCCGAACTATAGTGTACATCACTTTGTCAAGGCCTTGGGAAGTTACAACTTAAAAGCACACTCAGAAAGACTATTAATATGGTGTAAATCAAACAATAATTACAATATTTGAATCAGATTGTAAAGCAAATTTTTTAGTTTGAGACAAGTAGGATATGTCTTATAACAGCAGTCACTACAGTACCTTGCCCATGTCACATATACTGTACTTATCACGGAGACGTTTGAATCACAAATAATTCAATTTAAAAACTCAATCCATACTGGTATTACAAATAATAAATTCATGTAAGCAATTCAGCCGAAAAGATATTTTTGGTTGAAGTTCAGTCTATTGACATACACAGTTTATTCTTATAGTAAAATGTTATCGTTTACTTTACAAAATTAGTGAATTTTAACAAAAAAAACATTTTTAGCAAATTCCCCATTTAGGGAGAATAAGCTATTACCGCAGGTCTCATGGTAAGACCTAGACCCGGGACCGATTTACTTTTTCGTTTTGAGGTACCCAGAGGCCAAAAACACCAGCTGTTCAAATTCATACATATAATATATAACCAGCATAATCGGACTATGGGAACGGGGGTTTATTGGGGTACAAATTGATTTTTCCCATTTTTGACCCTTTAAACACAAAATTTCGTAATTTCTCTAAAAACCATTTTGTAGAGCTTAAAAAAATAAATAATTTTGTATATTGAAGCGTTGTTGTATGCCCAACGGTTACGGAAATAATTAAAAAATTGTAAAATTAAAAATTCCCACGTTATTCTTATGGCGAATAAATAAACTGTTGTAGTTTGCTTGTTTATAGATATATTTGAACCAAATTTGGAAATTTTGTTTATTTAATACTAAGCTATCGACATTGCAATAAAAAACACAATATCTTCCCTGTAGCAGCAAACCTAGGTACTCACTAAAATTAATGTTAATTAAATAGGAAATAAATCTGACAATTTTTAGGGAATATTTTAGTAGAAATTCAGACAGGTAAATGGAAATTTGCTTAGTCTGCAGGTTTACTGTGGCGAGGGTATTTTTAATAAGTTACGTTTGATTTTTTTCAGTATTGGTTCTACCTTATTCTTCATTACAATCCCTTAACCCCTATAAACTTATTTTAGTAACTAAACTGAAATTGCCAAAGGTGTCAAGGTTTGATACAAACATTTGTTTAAAGGTTATTTGTTTAGAAACAATCTCTTATGCAACAAACTATTTTAATCTCTTATCAAACAAATTATTCCTGTTATCTCAATGTCAATATGCAGACAAGGTGAGAAGTAAAATTTGTGTTACTAATTTTGTTTCTTTATACTTCACATACATTCATTTTTTTATTTACTCATAACATAAATAAAAAAAGTTAAGTACAGTAAAAAAAAACAGGAGAGTCATCAAGATAACAACTAAACCATAATTAATTTAATTAAAAAAAAAGAATTAAATTATTACTGTTATATAAAATAAAAGTGATCTTTATAAAGAGTTTTGTTCTTATGTCAAACATTTTGGCCATCATCAATATTCAAGTGATACCACAAGGGTCACTGACACTTAAGCCTTTTGTGTACCACCTTAATTTAAACATTAGAACCAAACATGTTCTGGGTTTGTGATGAAGAATTTTAGCGAATTTCCCTTTAGGGAAGTAGCTATTACCGTAGGTCTCATGGTAAGACCTAGGCCCGGGACTGATTTACTTTTTCATTTTGATGTCCCCAGAGGCAAAAAACACCATTCGTTCAAATTTTTATATATGTATATATATATATCTATATATAGATATATATATATATATATATGTGTCCATCCGCACGATAACTTGAGTAATTTTTGTCCGATTTTGAAAAAATTTGGTGTAAATGTGTAAGGCGGGATAAACTTGAATGAGTTCGCGAACCAGCATGATCGGTTCATGCCGATAGTTAAAAACTGCCGTTCTCATTTATGGGAACGGGGGTTTATGGGGGGTTTTATGGGGGGTTTTATGGGGTAAAAATAGGTTTTTCGCATTTTTGACCCTAAAAACAAAAAAAATCACAATTTCTTTCCAAACCATTTTGTAGAGCTTAAAAAAACAAATAATTTAGTATATTGAAGCGTTATTGTGCGCCTAATTGTTACGGAGAAAATTCAAAAAAATTTTAATTTTAAAATTCCCATGTTATTCTTATGGAGAATAAGTCAACTGTTGTAGTTTGCTTGTTTATGAACATATTTTGATCAAATTTGGAAAATACATTAATTTCTTACTAAACTACAGTACCTTTTAACATTTTACATTAAAAAAAACTTTTTTACCCTCCCTGTTGCAGCAAACCTAAGTACTGGTTAAGCTAATTCTGTTTAAATAGGGAATACATTTTATATTTTTAAGGAGACATTTTAGTGTAAATCCAATCAGGTGAATGGAAATTCGCTAAGTTTGCAGGTTTGCTGCGGCGGGGGTATTTATAAGGTAACTGTTGTTTCCTATTTTGACAACAGGTACGTCCATTTAAAATTATATCCAGTTGGAAGGTGGCCGGATAAGAAGAATTTAGCTGATGTTACTAAATGACTTCCGGTTTTGGAAACTTTCCTAAATATAAATGATTTTTTTTTACTGACATTAAATTTACCTTTTTTAAACTCCTATGGTAAAAATGTATTACAAACTTTAACATCAAAAGAATTTGGTTCAACAGATGTTTAACTTAGTTTACTTTTTAAATCAAAGATTTGAATTTATTTAGTAAATTCATGAATAACAAATTCATGAAAGGTATCCTTAAGAGGCGGTCGGACAGAGACCCTTGGCTCCTGGACCTGGGCGTCACTTTAACGTGGATCACATATTACAATTCCTTGTTTCCAAAAATATTTCACGCATTCATAATAACATAGGTAGTAAATGTGTGTAGTATTAAAACTATAACATAAAATAGTTTTTAAATATAAGCCTGCAATAATGTCAGTTAGTTCATTGTTAACGTAATTATTAAAATACCCATAAGGATTCGCAATACGTTTTCCTAAAATTGCTAAAATATGTAATGACTGGGGCATCACACAATCATCTTCAAACTCTGTATAAAAGAGCACACTTTTGTTAGTCAGGTTAATGTATTACAAATGATTTTTTTATCTTTAAAATTTAGTCTTATCTTTCTTTATTAAATAGCTTGCACATTAGCAATACTTGCCGACCTTGTACTAGTCCGACGATGTTTTGGCTGATGGCAGTATCGTTTGCTGACTTGGTTTCAACTCTACTGAAGTTGGTGACATTGACGCTGACAAAGTTGCAAAACCGTAAACACGTCAATTCCACTCGAAAAGGCAACACAATGTGGCCAACTTAGTTTGTATTAATTGAGCTGTTTTCACAAAACAACATTTAGGAACCTAGGAAGCTTAAGTAGGCTAATAAAGTAAAAAAGTGTAAACAGCCCAGGTACAGAGGTTTTTGGCGATACATGAAAGTGAAGATGCGTAGTCATTCCAAAGAATGGATTTGTACCAGTGTCCCGGAGAACTGTTAAGTCTATGTCTATGTCTGTTGGTGACATTTTGTTGTTTTCAGTCCGAAACACGAGAGTTGCCAACAGAGTTCATCCAGGAATTGGTTGCCAAAAAAACTTTGACATGGACATTTTTAGGAACATTTTAAAGTGTTTCCACTCTGCCGGACAATTTTAACGACAATGTCAGTGATAGATTTTGGTCAGTCTGGACACAAAGCTTAAGAAGGGGATTGGACAAATTGTTTATAAAAGTAATTTTTAAAATAAATATGTACATATCTGTGGAAGTTTTTCACTCTATTACACAACATTGTTTGTAGACAGTTTTTAGTCTAGGGCTCATGTATTGCAAACAGGACAGACTGATATGATAACACAGTTGTATAACTTCCCACATGCTTATCTCAATAGTTTCTTCTCTCCACAATTATTATGTCCTTATTTTACATTATTTTTTTATTTTCAGCAACACTCATAGCAATATTTGA